TTTTTTTTTAATTTAGTCCCCTTCCATTCTAGTTTAAATGTTTCTGGATTTCAATCTTTTGTGCTGAGACAACTGGTGCCCATGCCATTTAGATGTAATCTGTACAGATGGCCTTTGGCATGGAAAGATTGCCAGTTGACCAGAAAGCTGAAGCCTTCTTCTGCAAACCTTGTCCTCATTCATGTGCCGTGTTGATGGACTGACCTGTGGTTAATGTTTAGAGAAGTAACTGTTACTGAACTGTTGTATTAAATGCCTCTCAATAAGAGATATGTTTCAAATCCACCTTAAAGACATTCTTCTGTAAAAATGTGCTATTAGATAACTTGTCTGGTAATGACTGTAGTTTCATTGCTGTCTTCCTGTCTTGTTTATAAGTAGAAGCTTTAACTAAATGAGAAACAAAAGTGGAAATATAGTGATCCCTTGCCAGAAGTGCAGATGATAGCAGCAGTTCAGGAAAACAGATTGTTTTAGTCACTGGACTGGAAGTCCCTTTTATAACTCATGGAAGCTGACAGAGCTGTAGCACTCTACTGCCTGAAAGCATGAGGTATCAGGAAGCAAGCTGATGTGAAAAGCACCTGTTCAAACCCCAAGGAAGCAGTTAACCTTTTCTGTTTATACAAGGGCAGCTGGAAACAAGTGGTGTATTAAATCCAAAGATCAAAGTCTACAACATGTGGGAGCCAGTAGACACAGCACAGGTACAGGAGTGGTTTAGAATTCTGTGCATGGGTGAGGTCTTTTGGACAATTTGTGTAGACCCATGTTGGACTCTTTCTGTATGAAACCTGCTTGTTGCTGGGAGAGCAATTCAGGTTGGTCACTTTATCAAATTTGGGGAGGGAATGAAGCAAATGATGCCAAAATCAGAGAGATAATTTTGTATGCGTTTGAAGTGAGCTTTTATAAACTATCTCTTTTGATCTTGCCTTATCACACACCTCTAACTACATTCAAAGCTTCAAAGTAGTTTTTAGTTTCTTCATGATTGAAAGGCCTAAGGGGTGTTTTGTGGCAGGGGCAATACATTCTTTTAAATACCAAATGCAATACTATTATACAATGTAGGAAACTAAACATGTGTCTACGTCTACCCAAAAACACATATGTCTATTTTTGATATTTTTTATTCTAATCTTTTTGATGAAGCTGTTTCTAAAATATGTCCATCTCAAAGTTTCTTGAAATGCAAGGAGAAAATGTATACACATATTCTAAATATGAAAGGCTTTTACAAGGTATAAATAAGGGGAAGAAGTTAAATCCAAATGCATTCTACAATTAAATGTTTATAAAGTAGGTGTTTTTTTATTGATTCATTTTTAGTATAGTAATGTCTTTCTCCTCCTTTTTTCTAATTTTTATATTTTTCATATAGGCAAATTCCAAAAAGAACAAGAGTCGCTAGACGGTTCAAAGGCAGGCTGCACCTACAAACTGGAGCAGGGTGGAGGAGGTGGGGGACCAGCCTGCGCTGCAAGGTGGGGGATATTATGGTGTACCATCCCCTCCTCCTGCTGAGAGAACAGCACAGTGAGGAACTGTCTTGGAACCAGGGATCAAACTTCTTCAGTAACCGACACAAAGCAGAAGGGATTTGAGCAGAAAGCCAGGGTCCTGCCTTAGTAAACTGTTTCTATATATTTAGTCCCTTTTTGTTAAGTGCTTCCTTCCATCCAGGAAGCAGCTGTTATGATAGCGACTAAGGAAGAAGATACAGCTGTTTTGTTTTGGGAAAAACTGTTTTCCCAAGTATATCAGGAGTCTAGCACATGTTACAGTTGTTTATAGACCTGGAGGAAGCTAGATTTTCAGTCAACGAGGTGAATTCAGTGATGTGTGCTTTGCTACTGGGAGAAGCTTGCCCTGACTGTGAGAGTGGGTTTTGCCAGTGGGATGTAGCCACACACTGCGGAGCGCCAAAGCCTGGAAGAACTAGGTCAGCAGAGCCAAACTTACTGGGTCTCACTTTTAGACCACAAACAGTACATTGCATGTGGAGGAGATCTGCTTAGTCTGGGAAGTTAGCATGAAAGCTGAAAGGGATAAAATGTGTATGAAAAATATTTTAAGTGAGAAAGATAAAACAAAACAGTTACTGTTTTTATTATCATTAAATTCTTGAATAGCTTATCACTGTGGACATGGATTCAGTGGGATTACTAGCAAGTTATTTGAAGTCCAATAGTTTTGCCAGTTCTGGAAGAGGTTTTCTCCTTCATTTATGTAGGTGTAAAATTACCACAGTTTTTCACACTCAAGTTCTCTGTTGCACAGGGGGGTGTAGGAGTCTTGAGTTTCTGAATGGCTAGTAAAGGCTAATCCATCTTCTCCTTATTCTACATAAGGTTTGTTTTTATGAGATTAGATTTTAATCTAAACACTTTTATATGAGAAGCCCAGGGTGGAGAAGCCAGTGGTACAGTATGTCACAACTTGAAGACTACAAAGATGAAGTCTTTAGGCCCACAAAACCGAAACAAATGTCTCAGACAACAGAGCTGTGTTATAAGTTAAACTGCCCAGAATTAAATATTATAAATTGCTATAACTTAGAACTCTGAGACTTGCTCAGAAAATGTTTAGCTTTTATACATGTATTTGGACATTTTACAATTACAGTTTTACAATTAAAGAAGTTCTGCAGTGAGCCTGGCGGGCAGTTGTAACCTTCTGACACATTTATATCCTCTTTTCCTTTTTTTATCACTAAGTAGCAAGACCAAAACGCAAGTTGCCTTTCACATACTTTAAAAGGGATGCACTCTTATTCTTTTCTGAATTTCGGTATAGATGGATTCATTCTTGAACTTAAGGCCATAGCTTTTGAAGGTGGTTGCTTCATGATGAAAATCCATTTTAATCAAATATTAAACCATTTGGTCACAGAAGGAGGAGCAGTTTCCTGTGTGATGACCATTTCTGTTTAGATATTGCCTCCCCTTGCTCAGTAGCCCTATCCTGTCCATAGTCAGCTATTCCTCTGCACTACTCTGAGAAGAGTTTGGAACAAAACTGCACACTTAGCAAGCCCACTAACGGCTCTGAGTCTGACATGTTCTTAAATAATACATTTAAATTACTCTCATAACATCTCGAGAATGTTGGGAATTCCTGTTGGGAATTATTCACTGTAACAGTATATGTGTAAAACATTATATGGACTGACTCGTGTTTGCCATAGAAATTGTACACCATAGGAATTAGCATTGGATGTGAAGACTTATCATACACTCCACTCCTGATGAAAGTAACTATTCATTGTTCTGTGCACTTTTTTTAAAAAAAGAGTTGATTTTTAATTTTGTAATGTGAAAAAGATTAAAAGGTTGAATGTTTGTTCTGTTGAGTTTATGAGCATTGTATTTTATGTAGTCTGAATGCAGTTATGTTTATCTACCAAAAAGCCAAACGTCTAGAGAGTTCTGTGTTTTAGACATTACAATGTCTTTAGTCAGTGAAAGGTTTTACTTTGGCAGTCATGTCAATTGTGTCCATTCAGTGAGTCATTACGTATGTAATTGGTATAAATAAAATGATCTTAAATGGTATCAGTATTCTGTTTGAAATGCTTACTGCAGGATGTTTTTTGTATCTAAAATCATGCAAGAAACTGAAACTATTTTTTGGTACAGATGGAGATCTCAATTAACAAACTCAGTATCTCTGAAGGATGCTCACAAAAATGTATATCAACACTAAAAGATCTTTTAGATGTGATAAACTGTTCCTTTACTCTGACTTCCTCTTGACAGTGAAAATGCTTGTGCAGTATGTGGATCTAATTTAAGGAATCTTGCTATAACACTAATGCTGTTTTTCTACTGGCAATAGCTGACTGCATTACATATAGGATTAATATCTTATAAAATTATGTATTTGGAGACTTACAGTATTGCATGCACGTTTTTCTTATTATTGGTCAGTAAGGGGAGATATGATCCTCTCAAAATGTTGAACACTTTAACTGTGTGGGATGATGAAGTCGATAACCTTTTTCTCTTGGAAAAATGGCTGTATGAACCTTTATCTTGAGTGCTCTCTCCCACTTAGCTGGGAGGCTGAAGTGAATCTCATCATCCACTCGAGATACAATGAGTAGTTTAGGATATTCTTGGCATACGACCCATGAATCATAAGTTATTCTAACAGTGTTGCTTAATTAAGTTCCTGAGAGTGGGGAGAGGACCAAGTTTTAAGCAAATTAAAGAAAACAGAGTGGGAGCTCTTTCATTTCCCCTCGTTGGAGTTGTCCTTTTATTTAAAAGGACTGTACACAAATAACTCCGGTCTAGGGTTTTAAATTAGCTTATCTATGAATATTTATATTTGCTTCAGTTAGAATTTGCTTTTGTTCATGTCCCATATGTTTAGTACACGTGATGGTTTTACAATAGTGCCTGTTCTCAGTGTTTATTCCACATTTTGGAGGCAGGGTTCAAATTTAAACTTCATAAGACCAGTCTAAATTTAAAGGCTTTAGGGTATCTGCTGGGGATCCAATCCAAAGTTAATTCTTCTGTTGTCGCCAACCCTTTTTGCTGTTTTTGTTATCTTTGTCATTTTTATATTGTGTCCTTGATCCAGATAACAGAAATGTGTTAAAGGCTGCTTTTTTACACCTTGTTTCCTTAATTAAAATAGGAAACAAGGGAGAAAATTGAGAAGACAAAGTAATTAATTGTCATTAATAAGCCAAAATATCCATTCTGCTTGAGCAGCTAATGGAACAGCGGGTACAACTTGTAAAAGCTGATGTGATGTTGTTTAACTGACAGATTGCTGCAACAGCACTAAACATGGATGTTCAGATGTGAATTATTCAGCAATTCGTAGCTGGAGACATCTCAAATGAATAAAGGGAACAACAAAAGTATTTAATACCCACAGTGTGAAGCTGGAGTGTCTGAAACATAAAATTGCTGAACCGGAGGACAACTGTCAGTGTTAAAATATTCACATATCCCATTGGATTTTTTAAAAACAAAACCGCTGCATTCCAAAATTGGAACAGCATGAAAAGTGCACAAACAACATATGGAGATCACTCTTCATGGAATTGCAACAAGCCTTTAGTGATTATTTTTATTTTTTAGATGTCTCTGATACTCCACTGATAGGCACTTGCTTTTAAAACAAAACAGGCAACCCAGTGTCTTTGCTTGGATGAGTGTTCTAAAATGAGATTTTACCCAAATTATAGCCCGGTACTGCCTAGCAAAGACATGCACATGTTATAGTGAGAAAAACACTGATGGAAGCTGGTGTTCAGTCTCATAAGATAGTAATGGCTCATCCAGTAAACACTTTGTCTAATCATAACCTTAAGCATTGGAAGAATTGGATTTGGTTGGATAGACAAAAAACAATGAGACCTGCTGCCCAGGTAGGAATGCAGATAATGATTTTTGGGAAGACAGATAGCAGACCATGTAGTCTTCTCAAACATGCTTTACAACAGGTACATAGCCTTCTCTATTCTGAAAGAGCTGTTGCTATAACACAGGTGCTCACATATTAGCAATTGTACTGAAATGCAACTGGGAACCGTAATTCAAAAAGAAACATTGATTCATTGTCTCAGGCTCACATCCACTGCAAAGCTGCAGAGAAAGCTAGCGTTTGCCATGGTAGCTGGCCACTCACCTGTCACTGAGTACTGGTTACCATGGAAATATTCCCACAGGAAATCTGCGTCACCTGCGAGCAATTTACTTCCACTCCTGTATCAGGTGGTGCAGAATATTTAAGGACTGCTCTAACACTTCTCAGGGCTCTGTAATAGTTTTATCTCGGAGCCCCTCTAATCCTTGTTCCTATTTCCCTAGTTTTGCCTTGCTTGGAATACTGACATGTCTTGTTAACTACAGTACCTCGTTCCTGGATCACCCCTTGGCTTATCTCTCTGTGTATGTTTGGCTACGGAACCTACTTTCATCAATTTCCCTACAGGATAAATAAAGTATTATCTATCTATCTACTTGCTGTTACTACACTGTCTTCTGGATTTGCACTTGCTACGTAATGTGTTTCATCTTTCCAAGGATCCAAGGATTCACCTGCTTTGTCCACTGCCTGCCCGACCACAAACCTGAATTGAAATTCGTTCCTGCTTGCTATGCCACCACACTGCCTGTGTGCACATCTCTATTGTGCCTTCAAAGACTTTCTTGCCTTGTTAAATGTTACTGTTAATGCATTAAATAAGGTTTTTCAATGTGTCACAAATGTTTCAGCTGATGAGATGTTTTGTCTAATCAGAAACAGTGAAACAAAAACCACCTGGAAACCATGTTTGTTTTTTGAACAACAGAAAAAATACTTAATTGCTCTTTTTATGGATTGAAATTGCTATGATTTGAAGTTTTAATACATTTAAAAAATAATCCCATGGCAGTGGGTTTGTTTTGCTTTATTACATTTGTTTAGGCTTCATTTTATCTTTATTATGCTTTAGCTCATTTGTGATAATGTAGGAGATCCTTTTGACGGTGTTGACAGATGTGGCTCAGCTGCTGAGAGTTTGGAAGATGTCTTCTTCTCACTGGCTTCCTGAGATTATCCCTGCGGAGAATGGCCTCTGGAGACCCCCCAAAACACCAGATTAAGAGCCTTGAAGTTTCCACCCACCCATGTCAAAACATCTCTTTCAAACTGACTTTCACAGCTCCAGTGTCTCTGGGGGTGTGAAAAACAAGCTCTGTATCATTTGTGCTATTCTCATTGCAGATAATCACTAGTTTGTGATGCATCCTATAATTATTTCCATAACCCTGGAGAAAGCCAGGAACACCTTGTATGCACACATGAGGAGCAGACAAAATAATATCCATGTGTCTCACTTCTTGACAGTCTTGCTGAAAACTGCAGAAGTGCTTCCACTCCCTTGCCAGTGGTGGGTTGTGACAGTGTGTGGAGCTTCTGTCATGTTCTTGTTTTCTTTATATAAGCACAGCAACAGAGGCCCTTCTGTAGACCAGGCGCTCCCTGATGGTGGGGGGGTTGGGGTTTACATAGAGAAGGATCTCTTCAAATTGCACAGATGCTAATTCTTTTTACTATTTTTCAGTACTGAAAAACGTTTTTCAAGAAAAAAACCTATACTCCTTGATCTTCATAAGTGAAATTGTCTATTTGAATAGGCAGAATTTCCTGTTGGGCTTTACCAAACATGGCTTCCTAATAATCCCCATCTATGAATTGGCTTTATCACTCTGTTCTCCTGAGAGCTTAGAGCTGATGTGTGAAGAGTGTACTCTGTGCACTATGGCTGCTGTCGCATCATCCAGGTGGGGCTTCACACTGGTGGTGGTGGAGAAGAGTCCCCATTACCTGTAAAGCACTTTGAGTGGAGTGTCCAGAAAAGTGCTATGTAAGTGGAAGGAAATGATAATATTAATCTGTGGAACAGTTCCTTAACTATCCGGGTTCTGCATTTCATACGCCTTCGTTTTTACTAGAACCTTCCTTCCTCTGCCGAGCACTGAGCGACAGGCGTAGAGGCATGAGAAGAGGGGGTGAGCACCCTGTAGATGTCTTCAACAAGTAAACTTCCCTTTTCAGGCCTGCTCGTTACACGCATTAAGAAGTGTCAGAGGTGGAAAGAGTGGATGGTGAGTGATAAGGTGAAGTTATACTGGCAGGAATTGAACTGCAAAGGGGATGGGCTATGGTGTAGGGTGCTTCTTAAAGCACGTGGAGCTGGTTTTGGGCCTGAGTCACTGGTGTGCTGTTGGTGACTGATAAATTCTGGAAAATTCTCAGATCTTCATGGAAACAGTGACCAGGAGATGTGCTGGTAAGAACCCAGTCAGATCTTTGTGGTGTACAGATGAGAACTTGGAAATTCAGAGCCACAGTAATGGGACAGAGATTCGGAGTGGCAATAAGCAAATTTGTTATCTGCTGAGTGGACTTTCCTCACCAGACTAAAGGCTGTTTTACTTCAGCTATTGCCTTCTCCATGAACTCTACTAAACTCTTTTAAAGGGTCAGGGTACAGTATATTCCTTCTTGTTCAAAATTATCTGTACATACAATATACTGTAATATATATAGCCTCAATACTTTACATTTTGGTTTGGGGCTTCAGAGTTTTGTAAAATGCAGTGGTAACAGTTTTAGTGAAAATAACAGAACTGATTTCGATAAAAATGTGGATTAGAAAATGTATGAGGAACCTTCACCGATATGTGATCCAGCTGTTAACATGGAATTTCAAAAAACACAACCAAAACCTACTTTCCTACTTTACTGGTGTCTTTTACTGCTTTTTTTTTCTCTGCCATTCACGGGGTAAAATTTGCTCTTGATTTTTTTAAAATATAATTGTAGGTGCAAACATGATAAATGGCAGCATTGATGTGGAAAAAGAAAGAAATAATCTGCATGAAATTGTCAATTCGGACAGCTCGTGCTGCAGTCCTAACCCACCCTGAATTCCCAGGCTGCAGCCTGTCAGAGGGCAGCAAGGCTGAGGTGGTCCTCAGGGCTCTGCAGCTCCTGTGGGAATGAACCCCTCCCAACGTACTGCAGCTGCTCCTCATAGCCCCACCACTGCCTTCAAGTGTATACAGCTGTGCGACAGGCCAGTGAACTGCATCTCGGCCTAGATTTATTATCTGTTATTTAAAGCCCATTTAAGTGATACAGGGCATCAAAACTTAAAGCCCAGTGAAGGAGCAAACTCGATATGAGGCAGGCTAAATACAACGGGTATAACAAGTAATTTCACGGAACTAAAAATGATTTATTGCATTAACATTTATTGTAACAAATACATTTTTGGGGCTTTATTTAGTCTTTAATGCATTTTCCTTGACAAGCTTTTGTACATGTGTCGTTATTATAAAACATTGGTGTTGCTGCGCAGATTCTCGATTTAAAATTCAAGATCAACAGCAGTATGGCGGCAGGGGCATACTGCTCATGCTTTGAATCCTTACTGTGTTCGTGCCTTGGGTTGCAGGCTGATACAAAGAAAACTCGAAGTAATCGGTTTGAGCATTTTTGTAAGTAAAAAGTAGGCAATAGTAATAACTGTAAATCGTATGGAAGTAAGACAAAATAATTTAATAGTCCACTTTAAGTTAGAATTTAGAAACATTTTTAGGCTGGTTTTTAGAATAAGCGTTTTTAAAGTACGATTAGAAAGTCAAGGGATTAAGAGTAATAGAGTACGTTAAAGCGTAAGAAATATTTTCATTTGACACTAAAATGTACTTCTTTTCAAACTTGTATCTAGTAAAAGTGACCTTTTTTTCTCAGTGGAGGCCATCTGACTGTGCTTGTTTAACGTTTTGCCAACTTTTCCTCATTTTCTCCTACGCAATTCGGAGGTGGCTTTTAACAAAAATAGCCACGGTTCGGAGAAATGCCAAGCTATGCCGTCGTCATTAACCAGGCTCAGCTGGGGAAGAGGAAGTAGTGCACTGTATTATTCTCATTCTTCTGCGAGCTGTCGCCTGCAGAAGCAAGATATTCCCGTTAGCGCAGCTTTGGAAAAGAAAATTCCGACAGCCGCCGCGTCCTCTGCCATTTTGTTAAAATTCCATAGGGTTGAGCTAGTATTTGGATAACGGGAGAGAGAAGAAAAAGGATTTTATGCTTTAGCAATGTACCGCTGTTGACGAAGTTGGAGTCGTGGATCGCTGTAAGTAGGATTTTAGAAAAATAGAGAATACAATTATTTAACGAATATTCAGTTTGAAAGTTTCTGCGCAGCAAATTACTTTACAGCAACTTCGCAGGACATCTCTATAATATGTTGCGCTTTTAAAGTAGCAAAATATAGAGAACTTAGTTTTCTGTCATGAGCTGTTTTGTATTTCTCGGGGGCGATATTCAAGTATCGTTTTATTTACGCTTTGATCGAAAATACCGAGTTTAAGCCGAATTAAAAAAAAATAGTTGGTATTCATGTTATTGCAGATTGTTTGTTGGAGAGCCTTTCTAGTTTTACGCGTGAGCAAAAGTTCTGGGACTAAGTAACATTTATCAAATATTAGAAACACTAACAATCAGGGCAGCAGACTTATTGTTCTTTGTTCCACCATCAGAAATTAGATATGAATTGCTTTTAGGCATTCAAGATCAGGGTGTATGTTACTGACAGTACTGACACTCAGCATGTCAGCACTAAGTGTAGGCACTCCGTGAGTCGGTCCGGCAGTATTCGGAACTGTTGCAGACATGTAATGGAACCAGGAAGGCAGATCATCCTGCATCAGTGTGGTGCCTATGACCCGTTAGTATGATTATAGCTTGTCTGCTTAACCTCCAACCCCATCTGCCTTCTTCATCTTCTATAATCCAGCTCACCACAGCGGACGGTCCTTCTGGACAAAACTCGTATTATCTTTCCTGGTCCCAAACAACGATGGAACCAGGCTTGTGCTACCAGCATGCTCTCTCACTCACACTGGCTAAATGTGTCCAGGACGACCTGCTAGGGCCAATGTGATGTGTCTTACCTGGATTTGAGGTGTGATTGCTGAAGTGTCGGTTAATCCAGAAACAAAACCTAAAGGAAGTACCCTAATATTATTGTAGTCCTGTGTTAGTAGTAACAAAACCAGCTCTTTAACAATTAATGCGTGCTATAATAGAATGTATTTATTTATTTATTGTAAGAAAGCAGGAAAATGCAGTTTAAATTTGGAAATAATAATGATTAAGTATCTTCTAAAAAACGTTTTGTGTTTCATGTGCCAGTGCTTTTGAGATGTTAAATGGCAGTCTTCTCCCTAACAGTGGGGCTTTATAGCGATGACTTTATCTGCAGTTGTCTGCATCAGTACCCTAATTAAAGACTGACAGTGATGCCTTGAGCATCTCATCCCTGAGATCTGATGTGTCAGTACAGCACTATACATGCATCAATTCAGTTGAGGTTAGCATGCAAGCCATTTGGAAATAATTAGTCTGTTAATGAGAACTGCAGCTGCAGTACATACATTATTTCCCTTTGTTTTTCTGGGTCACCTGTGACTTTTCACCATATTTGTAATTAGACACCACGTCTTACATCATTATACAAATGTTGGGTTAGGGTGACATTCTTTAACACTAGTACGTCAAGGCAAAACTTCCACAAACACTCACAGGGACGTCACTTTTACACTGGTGGTTAACTGTGAATGAGCAGTGATACACTTTATAGAATCTTTCCTTTTTTACAAATACAATGTTGCAATTGTGGGGTCGCAAAAGCTTGGACACTTTGTGCCTTAGGTGTGCTAAGTTCAATGCAACACAGGATCATGGCCTGTTAATCTTCATATTATATTATAAAAATAACATTAAAGAGACACTAAATACAGTCATTAGTTGCCCAGTGTGCTCTGAAAAATAAGTTTTTTTGGGAGAAGGATCACAAATAATATCATGTAGAAATAGCATTTTTAAAGAATATTAGACGATTCTCAATGAAATATATTGCAGAGAGAATATATGGTAGAATGTGTTATGGGAAGATGAGCAACATTGAGATATCTTCTTGTTTTAAATGCAACCTGTCATGCAGTATCAGACACAAGCCCAACACAGCACATTGCCCAGTTAGTACTGATGGCAGCACCATGTCGTAGGCTCATCAACAGGGACTGGGAAGCTGAGTGGAGGAAAAATAGATTATGCAAAATACAGGCTAATTTTACTGGAGAATCTGATATTCTAACTGTAGGCTGAAAATGCACATTGTACCATAAGCACTAGGCCAAAGCAACGCTGATGTGGTTTGACAAGGAGAGGGTAAATGTCCTTGAGTGGCCCAGTCAAAGTCCTGACTTGATTCCAACAGAAAATATATGGAGAGGGGTCTATCAACTAACTGTGACATTTCAGAACTGGAGACATTTTGCCAAGAATAATCTAACCAAAACTACTGACAGCAGTAATTGCTGCCAAAGGTGTTTCTACCAGGTACTTAGAAAGCTGAAGACCTATGCAATCAGTTAACTTCACTTTGTGCAGTGTTATTTTGTTTGCAGGTTTTGCTGACAATCAACCTCCTTCACATATAACTGTTCATTTTGATCATTAACATTTTGAGTAAAAAGTTTTAATTTGCAAAAATTATACATATTACATGTAATTCAGTACAATGTGATGTTATTGCTATGCAAAATTATTGTTATTGTTACAAAATGGTATCAGCAGAGTAATCCTTTCAGCTTTCGTTTTTAAACAGTATTTATGCTAACAAAGCAATGAAATGAAGAGTGTAGGGATATGGTGATTGCTTAGCTGTCTGGTATTTGTGATAGGGTGACAGTGAATTAAAAAGAGAAATTAAGTGGTCAGCTAAGGTCTTTAGTCACTATCTCGGTCCAATCTGGACTCGAGAACTGCAATCCAGCCAATGGCAGAAAGTCTGTTTATGGTTAAAGTTCAATCTCTCAATCAATTTTGAATAGTACAGGGAATTATGGCATTTACTGCTTACTAAAGAGTATTTAGGTGTTGTATGGGCTTTACGTAAATCTGCAGTCAAGCATTCATTTGGAACATATATTTTACAACGACTGAGCCTGAACAATATGACTTGCAGACTTTCCTTTTGGGACTGTATTATCAAAAGCACTCTGTTTCGACTATGAAATGCTACTATCTATATCTAATATTTAGTTTTTCCTGCTCTCTTTCTTGCCTGAAAATGTTATTCTAATGAACTGATGTAATATTGGAAACACAAGTTAACTGTCAGAACTCTGGAGGCCTTCAGTGGGATATCTTCTTAGATACTTTCACATACAGGATAAGTATTTTTTAAGTTTTTTAAGATTCTGTATACAGTTCATAAGAAATACTAACATCACAGTTTTTTCTGTAACCTAAGATGTTTAACCATCCACATTTTACAGACTTTACATACCAGGCAGGTATATCTTTCTCTATAATGAAAGCTTAAATGGTAACAAGTTAAATGTCATTATGCTTCTCTTAGCTGTAGTTAACGTACAATACAGTAAACACAGTTTGGGTAGTGGAAGATTTTCTGACTATTCACCACCCTGTAATTAACTTACTGAATACAATATTTCACTTTCCTTAATGTGCAGTCTCAGCCTTCTCAATTCAAAAACATTTAAATAATGAAGGCAGGTATATTGTTCCAAATGTGGAAAACAGCTCCCAGAAATGTATGTTCTCCCTACTACTGCTGGAGGTGTTGGATGTGCAACAGTGAGTCATAGTCAGCCTAAATCAAGGCTTTAGCTAGAATTTATACGTAAAAAGTTAAAGTTCTGAGTACTTTAATGCTAGTTTTTTTGCAATGTTAGTATGTGTTTTTTGGGAATAAAAAGAGATTTAACTGCCTGCGTGCTCGTTTTTGGGAAGGTTTGAGGAATGTGAGTAATCTGATTGTATGTTCCTAATGATGCTGCAATGTATAAGTCCTTGTCAGTTACGCTGTTGGTTCCCTAAATACCTGCAGTTAAGCAGGTCAGCAGGATATTTTTTTTTATACCCAGACTTCTACAGACCCGGGTTTAAATGGTTATTCCTTGCACTTGACTGGTTAGCTTCTGTAGGCTCAGTGTGCATAATAAGAAGGGATTAGTTGTGACTGACCACCCGAATTATCTTCAGTTTCGTTCCAGTAACAGCAAGCAAACTTCAAAAGTTCAACGTAGGAAATACCCAGTTAATAATGCCTAGAAAGTGGTTTGATTTGCCTTGTTAGGAGTGACAGAGTCGAAATATTCTTGTTGCCAAAAAAGAGATTCAGTTTGGAAGCATGACTGAAAAAAGATTCGGAGGAGCAATTTATTTGTAAAATATCTTGCAATATATTTAGTACTTTTGTAATTTTGCTCTGAATTTGTAGAGAATAGGAAATATGTAAGCTGGAGACTTTAGCTTGAAGTTAAAAGTGTTTTTACACAAAGCAGATGTAGATTATAGGATGTTAATGTGTATTGCATGTTTCTTCAAACTGCTGGGAATGCATGGTTGACCTCTGGCATTCTGTTTATGTCTGCATTGCTTCAGGCAACAAACTCAAACTCATCTTGTAGATGCAGTGTTTTTACAATAGTTAAGCATGTTTTTAAAATGTGGAAGGGAACCATTTTATTAATTGGTTGCAGAGTTATTTTTCTGTGTGCCTCTGTTAAATTGAAATACCAAATTTTATGGCTGAGATATGTTATTCTAAAAGCAACATTCAATTAAAGGTCAGATTGCATTCCTGTAGTCTTGCTTATTTAAGCAGATTTTGTACTTTGCAAAGCTTTATAGTTTTCATGCATTATGAGCAAGAATTGCATTATAATGGAGCTCTGGCTTTGGCAAGCTTTGAGAAGCATGGCTTTTCATGCAACTGGTTTCGTGTTTCCCCTCAGTCTGTGTCTTTGAAAACAATGAGTCAAAAAATGGCAGGCAGGTTCATTTAAATGAAAAAAATATGTCTTTCTCAATTGGAAAATATTAAAGGCTTCATTTCCAAGAGTGGGATGAGAGGAGAAGAGAACCTGGAGACTGCTGATGGTTTCTAGATGTTTATGTCAAAAGAATATATCAGGGCAGCTTTGGAATTGATTATCAATTGATGTTACATATTCTACGCAGCTGGCTTGAAAGCTTATTACATACATGCACAAATGATGCATGAAAAAAACATAATTCTAATGGATTTAATGGAAGTTTAATGATATATGAAATAAAATAACAGAAAACGAAAGAAAAATCCGTCAAATTCCAAGTTTTTCATATAAAAAAATGACACTGTCAAAATGAAAACATTACAGAGTACAGAGTATAACCTCCCTGTGCATTAATAAATTGTTAGTCTGGCAACTTTGATGCATAGATCTGATCAGCCTCTGGACAGACTGCTGTGGGATACTTTGCAACTCTTCCTGTGCAGCTACTGCTAGCTGGAGAAGGTTGGTAGAATGGGACTTCTTTTCTCCTGATGGCTTTGGTGAATTGCTCTGAGTTCTTGGCTGTGGCTCAGGAACTTGACATAGTTTTAAAGAAGATGTTCTATTGTAACCCTACCACTGTGTGGTCCTGCATTGTCCTGCAGGTTAGCTTGCAGGAATAGAAAGACTGGTTTGAAAGCCAACACATCACTGAGAAGCAATATTGTCCCTAATCTGCATAAAAGTAGGAATAAATCCTCCAAATATTCTTACACATCCACTCCTCTGATTGGTTTAAATATAAGACTAGGTAGTGTAACATTGTGACATCTCGTGTAACATTGTGACATCTCCACATATGTTGTCTTCAAGAGAAAAACTGGTAAATATTGCTGGTAAATAAAACACTCCATCACACTCTCTGGTCCATCCAAATGGATGGCATGGCTCTGTTTCTGAAACTCTTGACCTGAGATAAGTATTTTGTTACACCAAGGAAAACCTTATAATAGTATAAGATCAATTTATATATAACGTTGATTTTGACAGATAAAAGATGGCACTTTCAGCTTATTCTGAGAGGTTACTAAGCAGAGAAAGAGCCACCAAACTGATCTGACTTTTTATAACCTTTATTAAAAAAAAGTGTACTGTCAAGGTATGATAGGCTCATATGAAAGGGATTTTAATTTCATTTATTTTACAAAGACACACACAAAGTAAGATTGTACTCTTCCAGATGTTTTTACTTGAAGAACTTGGAAACTGTAGCTTAAACTCATACAGGATAATAATTAAAGCCCAATCCCTGAAACTGAAACCTAACCAGATTTTTTTACTTATGACCAACTTGGAGTCAAGTATAAGTTTATTTGGCTTTTCAGTGAAGATGTTATATAACCCCAGTAAAGTGTAAATCAAAGCTACCGGTCAGTTGTTACTCCTCCAAGTCCTTCATTTTTGGAACTAGTATTTTCTTGATGAGCATGAGCATGGCTTAGTATTACATTTAAATGCATAAAATATTCATGATTACTTAAAAGTCAATATCTGTTTTTAGCCTAGAATAGTTTGATATGTACTGACTGACTATATAGTGTTCACATTATGAAATGTGTACAAAGACTTGAAGGACTCGAATGGTACCTTTTGTCTTGTAATGAACAAAAACCTCAGTATCACAGTCAGGTGTGGGGAGGTTTTGGATAGGCATGCACTGTGACTTTGTACAGAACTGGAAAAATGTGTAGTAAAACTAAGTGTACTATATGTTATGTTAGTAGTACTTTACAGAACCCACTACATAAGTGTTTCAGAATCTTATTTATACTTCATAAACCTCAACCAAGCATTGACCTGCAGTTTTTAAGTTCTAATTGAATTATGTTACAAAAAAAAACAGTCAAAATGTTTATAGTCCATAATGGTTCAACATAACAGTTTTCATAGAAGTGAAAAACAGCAAGCTGTGTAGTGTTTTGTCCTAAAGTAAAGTTTAGTTATATGTAATTGCTTCACCTTTTTTTGAGATGCAGTTCCTTCAGGCTTCAGATGAACTAAATTGAAACTGTGCTTGGAAGTCTGAGCTTGAGGGTGCAGTTGATTGATTTAATTAATGTACTTCTGTGCATTAGGTAATCACTGCTGACAGCATGGTATTATTGCTATTGAACTGTCTGCACACATCAGACTAATGCGAGCCCAGCAAATCTGTTTTGTAGGTGCTTCATCTTTTTTTTTTTTACTAGTGCATTCTGAAACAAAACTTTATCCCCTTATTAGCTTTCTATTAGCATAAGTAATCCCTTTATTAGCTTTTGAGCCATTTTCATATCTATCTGTCATATATGCACAAAAAATAAAAGGGTTTTGGGTGAATGGGCACTCTCTGTGTACACACAGGAATGCTGCCAACTGTTATATTAATTTAGGCTGCACTATACATTTTATTTGCACTTTCACATTGACTCCACCAGATGGAGCCTAATATCAAAGAATGTGGTTTATCAGCACTAGAAATATATTTATCAGTGAAGGCAATGACACTCAAAAATATACTGTAGCATACTCATATATACTGTAAATATACTGTTTAACATAAAGACTTTTAAAAATACATTGCACACTTTTCAATAGGTCAAAAACATGCTGAAACATAATCTTAAACATGTTAGAATATTGCTGACTTGTGAATTACTAAATACTTCACTATTTGTTTCCCTTTATTTTTGACAGCTTTTTTAACATCAGGAAACCCACAGAAGTTGATGTTCAGCCTGGGGGATCAGCAACAATGTGCTCCATGAATCACCCAAACTGGGTGACATTTGAAGATGACAGCTCTGCTTTCCAGTCACCCCAGAAATCTTTTCCATCCCCCAGTACCAGCACCGCCACTCCCAAACCCAATGGGTTGAAGCTATCCCTGCCTCCTCTGCATGACCCTGCCAGTTTCCACTTGTCGAACACCAGCCCCCTTACTTCACCACAGCTGCACTTTAATGGAAGCCCCTGTGTACCCAGCAATACACCCTTGTGCACACCAGTCAGAGAGACACCTGGATTCTTCGGGAGTTTTTCTTCTGGTGGTACCCCTCTTCCATCCCCTGCCTTAGACAGTAGCTGGGGGACTCCACAATTCAGGGGACCTCAATGCCCATTTCCCCCTGGGGGGCCTAGTCCTTTTCCAGCCTTCCAGAACTACAGCGGACACACCAATCCCTTCTGGGGTGAGGGGCGGGAATCGGGTAGCTCTTCCTCGGATTCTGAACCCAGCTCTGCTGACACCAGCATTCCTCGGTTCTTCGTCAGGAAAGATGGACATGAACTTCCAGGTGACCAGATCCAGCAGTCCTACACATATATTTGCAAGAAGTTGGAAAGGCTTCGTGCCGAAGATGAGGGAAGTGGAAGTACTGCCCCAGCCCAAAGGTACGAGGAGTCAAAAGTAAGATCGTCCTTCATCCCACAAGGCTTGTTCCGTAGCCAGAGGAGAGATGGCTGGTCTCTGATGCTCAGGATACCAGAGAAGAAGAATCGCATGTCATCACGCCAGTGGGGTCCCATATACTTGAAACTGCTGTTGGGTGGGGTCCTGCAGATGTATTATGAGAAAGGCCTAGAGAAGCCATTTAAAGAATTTCAGCTGCACCCCTACTGCCGGCTCTCTCAGCCCAAGCTGGAGAGCTACAATGATCCTGGAAAAATTCACACAGTGAAGATAGAACATGTATCCTACACTGAGAGGAGAAAATACCACCCCAAGAACGAGGTGGTACATGAGGCAGAAGTGGAGCAGCTTCTGAAGTTTGGAACCACAGACTACAGTGACTTCACCGATCTGCTGGCCACTATGGAAGAGGAGCTCATGCAGTTGCCTCCCCACTCTCAGCAGAAGAAACACTATGAAGAGCAGGAGCTCTTCCTGCAAATCACTGACAACTTCTGGGGGCGAATAGACAAGGATGGGAGAATGGTGGAACAAGCAGCAGTAACTCACATCTACTGTCTGGCCTTTGTCAATGGAGGTGCCGAGTGTTTCTTAGCATTGAATGACCTGCAGTTACTCAGGAGGGACCCAAGTTATGGGGGAGAGGACAGTGAAAGTTGGATGGAGATTTCTGACTACTTCTTTCACAAAAGCATAAATGAGAGTGAGTTTAAGAGATCAAGACTCATCAAATTCACCCCTCCAGATGCCTGCAGAGTGGAGCTAATGCGTTTTAAGACACTTTCAACTATGGTGGAACTGCCTTTCTCTGTAAAGGCTGTTGTGACTGTGCAGGGAGCCTACATTGAGCTACAGGCCTTCTTAAACATGTCCTCAACATTAACAAGTTCTGTTCATCTGGACTCGATGCAGGTCTGCGAGAATGTATTCATTCAGGTCTCAGTTCCAGGAGACTGGATCAAAGTATCTCGCACTGTGGCTCTCCTCAGGCAAAAGTCACTGAAGTCCAGAATGAACAGAAATGCCTGCCTTGGATCTGTCACTACAGCTGACACAGAGCCTGTGATGCAGGTCACAGTGGGAACCGTCAAGTATGAGCATGCCTATGGCTCTATCGTGTGGAGAATTGAAAGGTTGCCAGCTAAAAACACTGGTAAGAAACCTACTGAAGACATTTAACCTCCCACCGGTCTTTCTTCATGTTCTGAAATAAGAAGTAAAATTAGAACAAGTGACATAGGGAAATTTTACAATTATAACTGTCTGCCAGTATTGTGAGTAAATTATTAGAATAATTATATTTTAAATATAACAGTTTAACATGTTAGATGAGCTTTTTACCGTAGTTTTATAGTTTTTAATGCATCAACTAGAATGCATCTCATGTCTTAGAGAATAAACACTGAAGGTAGTAGGGGCTGTCTGCTGTTGTACATGCAAGTATACAGTCGAACGGAGAGTTTAAAACTTGTGTTACCTTCTCTCTGGCAGCCGCAGACCATCCACATTGCTTTTCCTGCAAGCTGGAGCTCGGGTCCGATCAGGAGATTCCCTCGGACTGGTATCCCTTTGTCACGATGGAGTTTGATGTAGCAGACACAGTGGTGTCCAGGACCAGAGTGAAATCACTGGGAATTGAGAGTGACATTCAGCCCCAGAAGCACATCGTCTCCAAAGCACACTTCCACTGCCAGGTATTGTAACAAAGGGATTGCAATAAAAACATGAGGACAAAACAACACCTACAATCCAGCAGGATGTGGGAATATACTGTAGATCAAGCCATGTTGTCCAAACCAATATCATTACTTCTTTTAAGCCTCTTGTTTATCACAGTTCTGATGAATTGAAGCTTTTCCTACAATTTGGATCTGGTCCCAGAGTGTCTGGTAACGTCTTGATTGTTGAGTTTAGAGTTTGTATGCTTTATTAAAACATGTAGAAATAACATTCATTTGTGCCCTTGAATGTCCCTTCACAGGTGGAAATTGAGAAGAAGTGGATCCAGAACTATGAAGGTGACTCACGGAAAAAAGCTGATTGTCTGACTCAATGAAATGCCAGTGTGAAAGGGTTTCTACTGGAAGACAAACTATACCATTTCAAAACTACATTATTTTTGTTCCCACAGTGAAAAAGTCAATTTCCTTACAGTCTTCATACCTGAATTGCTGGCATACCACACTTGGCAGTGGGAAAAATCTATTATGTTCTCATTCTAAAAAGTGTAACTGTAGATCTAAATCTCACAAATAAATGTATGGCAAACACATGGATGCAACTTCATATCAAGCTCTCTTCTCTTCTGTGGTGCACATTTTACGTATTCCACCACACACTTGGATTTTCGTTTTTCAGCAATTTAACAGCTTGGCAGCCTCAATTAGTTTCTTTCAGTTCTGGCTGAGTGACAGCATAGTTAGCTTTCTTTCAGATTATTTTACCTGGAGGAAACAGATGAGCCTAGGAAGCCTGCAGTTGACCACATACAGCTTTTTTCCACTTGTCTTTTCTCTCTTCACTCTCTGTCTGTTTTAAACTGTTTCAGAGATATTAAACCGCAGGCTTCCTCGGCATATGGTCTTTTTAACACAACCTTGTGTTAAAAAATGAAAAGGTTCTGCCAGCCTTGGAACATTGACATCTGAACATTTTCATGACATGCCTGGCTGCAGTCCTAACAGTGCCACTGGGGCCCGTCCTCCTGAGAGTCCACACCAGGCTGCACACAGCTATGACGGCTTCACTTAACTCCGAACTTCCAGCGTCTCCAGAAAAAGCTCTGATTAGAGGTCCATGTCTGCCAGTGTAAGAAGATTAGCAGTTTGCTTGCTGTGACAAGGTACATTTGATATCTTGCTGAAATCATAAGTTTGAAAAGATAGATCAAGTACTTGCAGCTGATTTTATGAGATACAAAATTCAGACTTTGCAACATGAAGCACAGAAAAATATGACAAGTCATTTGCCGCGTATAGCAAGCATAGACATCATAATCTGTTTTGTCATTCATAGCTTAATCGTTTGAACATAATGCAATTAAGATACTATTTACATATATTGTTCTATCTAAACTGATTTATCATCTGCAAAACTAATACAATAATGTTGCTGTTTCATGTCAAAATTTAAATTCTAAACCAGTTATCACATTATTCCAGTGCTGACCTTCCTTGTACAATAAACATTTCCTTTATTTGATTTCTGTCTGTTGTGTGATTTTGGTGGCTTATAGGATGAACAGTGGTCAGATTGAACATGTAAGTTTTAAAGTGCAAGAAAAAACCAATAGAAACTGTAAAGAAGAGTTCTTATGTCTGCTAAAATGTCTTTCTTCTGGTGACAAAGCTCACTGAACCAGGTCTTTCACTTATGTTGAAGGGCAAATAGCTTCAAATGATGTTTAAAATGGCTCTTTTTCTTCAACTCATTTATTCACCAGCTGCTCTTAGGCAATCTGTGAATGGCTGCCAGCTGCAGAATAGGTTAGAAAACATTATCAGACTTTTGAAGTATCATTTAAAAAAAAAATAAAGCAGCTGATATCCTTACTACAACAAGGCATCTGTGGTCCAGTGAGGGATAACCCTTTTTTAAACAAACCCTTGAATGATTCTGAGAAGAACAGAACCCTCGATTGCTGCAGTTCGTCCAACTGGAGGAGGGCAGAAAGGCAAAGAGAGATGTTCAGGAATGTTGCAATGCAGGCAAAAATAGTCAGAGGTTTTCATATCCTCAACAGTAAAATAATAAAGGATAAGGTAAAGGATTAGCTTCTCAAAATTGTTTATAATACAATTTTTTACATAAAAATAAAGTTCCCATGACTTGCTCCCAAGGTTTAGTAAGTCATCCAATATTAACTACTGAATTGTAGAAACAGAGCACTATTCATGTTTAGGATAGTTCATCAGCCCATTTAACTTAATATGACATGTAAGATAAAATGTGTAGAACTTCAAACTGTTGAAAATCAGGACAGGAGAGCAAAATTCAAGACAATGCAAATGTCTTTCAATCACTCTAATTTTTCCATTCTTTCTATCACTAAGTTCTATAGCCAGGGAAAATCCTGCTTATTTTCTTTTGCAATACCTGAACCATTTACAACGTTTAACTGGCAATGTTAAAAATAAGGAGGATATTCAACGCTAAAAATTACTAAGTGATCTTAAAGTTCCTTTGTCGTATTATATTTAAAAAAAGGCTTTGTATAGCAAACAACAAGAATAAGAATTCATTCTTGTAGAAATAAATTGTGAACAAGAATGGTCATAAAGAGTGATGGATGAATTCTCAGATCAACTGAAAAACTGCAAGACTGAAATGTAAGTTATATGGACTCTGGAATCAGTCATTAACATCACTAATAAACTGCCTGAGGGACTGAAGAGACCCCTTTTACACTGTAACTCTTAAAAGACAAAACAGCAAAGTATTTGTATTACATGCAAAGTAAGCATTTAAAACCTAATTTGAAAGACAAATATTAGTTTCTTACGTACACACTTTGTATAATCTTCTTTGCACAAATGAAAAACATATGTCTCCAGAAGGATCTGACAGTTGGATCCTTAAATGCTCGTAAATGAATTCTCAGATCCAGGTTCCTTGTCTACAGTTGCTCCATTATAATGCAAATGAACATGTGGAGCATTAGGAAGACAGCGACTGAACATTCTACATTTTGCTTCGGTTGCAAAGATCAGTTTTGGAAACTGCAGGAGAAATGTGAAGTAGTCAAGCTTTTCCTCCTTTTTTAAAATGACATCATGTTCCCAATATTAAGCTAAAATGTAATCAAGAAAACTTTGAAAAATACTTAAATTCAAAGTATAATCACAACAATACACTTTCAAAATCAAATAAAAAACATGGTGATTATCCATAAAGCAAAGAAACTAAGGAACACAGATTTTTATGCTTTTGCTAAAGAAATGAACTAAGAACAAGCGTGTGTAAAGCACAATCCAAATGAATAAAAATGTACTGGACAGTAACAATTCACCATAAATCATGTATTTAAAATTGTTTAGCTGTAACAAAATACATTTAAGTCATTCCAACAGCTATTAAATACCAGCAAAAATATCTGACAAATTAATCTTTTACACATATATAACATATATACCAGTATATCATCCACAAAGGAGAACAAAACCAAGATTGGAGAAATGCCACATACTAATCCTAATCAATAGAGAAAACAGCAAATATTAATTTAAATAAGCAAGCAATCAAATGACAATTTTTTTCCTTTCAGTACCAAATAATTGTAATTAATGGGTTTGTTCAGACAACTTTTTCATTTGTAAAAAGATATTGCAACGCTCTGAAGCACAACATAGAAGTATAGACTTCAGTGCACATAAATACAAATAGAGCTGCCATGGTTGTTACGTATATCAAGTCTTTGAAATATCTGTAATATTTAAAAAGCAGGTGAATAAAGGTGTACTATCGGTTATCAGCCCTCTGAGACTAACACTGGATTTGTAAAAATAATAATGTTTATTCAGAGGTGTTAAGCTTGAGCTAGGGTTTCATTTTGGATAGTAATGAATTTTGATATTTTACTGGGCCTTGCACTAGCTTCAACCTAAAATGAAGTCAATTAAAATGTTATAAGTTAACCTTGAAACAGTTCTAATTTAACCACTTAAAGTTCAATCACCATGATAACTGAAGCCAGACATTAACGTTTATTCTAATTCGAACCCTACCTCAGCATGATAAATCACCACTTAAGTAGGTGCATATGAACATTGTTTTACTTGAGTTCCAAGGTTGCCCAATAGCCTGAAAATGACATCATGTGTGCAAATACACTTGGAATTAAACTTCTTTTAAGTTATTCTTTCAATTCGTTGATTACATTTTAACACTGACTCCTACCTGCACGATATGCTGCAAATCCTCGGCGCGCTGTGGTGCACTGGGGATCATTTTGTTTGGGTGAAAAAGCCATAAGCCTTCCACAGCAAGGCCTTGGGTTAAAGCAAACGCCACAAAACAGGTAAAATCTGTAGTGCGCTGAGGAACCTAATTATATTGACGATATATAGTGCAAAATACTATATAGCACGACACATATTACATTACGTTATTTTTTTCTTTGGATTGCTAGCAAGAGGTTAAACTCGAGAACGCTTACATGACTGCACCATATACACCAAATTCACAACAAACAGGAATGACGGAAATATTTTTGCAAACATTATGGCTGCTAATATTTGCTTGCCTAGCGGGTGTCACTACGTCATGATAAATTAATTAAAGGAGATAATTAAATACTACTCACAGAAGTCTTGCCAGCCTTACCTTTTCGACCTCCTTCTCCGTTTTGCCTCCTTTCCGTTATGACGAACTATTTCCATTGTGAGACATTATATTATGTTTTTTTGCGTTTTGAAAAGTTTTACATTTTATTTGCGTTTTCAAAAATATTTTGTGGTTGCAGTTCAAATATTTTGTTTGATTTTCAATATAGTTTATTTGGAAAAGTTTAATTTGCTATCTCAAAATGTATTTGTGTTTTGAAACAGAGCCACCGTTATAATCTCAACAGCCTCCGAAATGTTGTCCAACTCAAACCCTGTGGTAAGCGCATGGAAATATTTTTAGTTACAATTTATCTACAAGGAATCTATTGTAACTTACGTACAGCCTCCCTATACTTGTTAACGTTTGTAAATTGATAAGTAATCAGCAAGTAACAGTGTCAAGTATTTTGTGTGACTGATACAAATTTTATGCTGCGAGTTATAAAAGTATTCATACTTAATGTGCACATTGTTGCTTGGGGGGAACTTTTTAGAATTCTACACATTAATATTTGCGATGCCTGCGTCTGTAAAGGCATTAATCTTTCTTCCAACAATGCAGCGTTAAAATTGCCATACCTGCCCTTTTATAAAGCTATTTGCAAGTGTGGTATTCTAATTTTGGTGACAGTTTGAGTCCTTTCTGACAAGCCATCTCCAAAAACAATTTTAGAAATCAGGGCTTAATATTTTTCTCAGTTTTCTTAGTTATATTTAAGACATTTGTGATCGGCTCCCAAGTTCAAATTGGCAGTCATTGTGTACGGGCTCAAAATGCCAGCATTCTGAAGAAGCGATTACTGATTTGGATGCTATGATTAATCTTCAGCTCGGTGGTCTATTTGGGTATCTCAGCTGCACCTTGACTTTCTCTTTGTTGCTTTGCTCTTTCTCTCCCCTCCCCCATGCAGCCTAAATTATACAAGTCCATCATTGAGGATGTCATTGAGGGTGTACGTGAGCTGTTTGTTGATGAAGGTGTGGAAGAGCAAGTGCTGCAGGATCTAAGGCAGGTGAGATGATCATGCTGGATCCTTTGCTCACTTGCTCATTCTTCACCTCATCTGGAAGTCCTCTTGAGGTGCTCCTCAGCAGAAACACAAACTTTAGGCTTCTGTCCCAATTGTGTAGACACTGTATGCACATATATATATATATGATGTTAATATGTTTATACTTGTCATGGGATTAATGTGTGCTGTTTGCCATTTCCTCTGAAATTACTGAAAGTGTTATATATATATACATAAAATAGCTAGTTCTACCATTTATTTCTGTTTGTTGTTATTATTTAATAATATTTGTGAAATCATTTTTATATTGTTTTGAAGTCAATTTATTATTATCAACGTCGTTTATTTTTAAAACTAATGTATTCTTTGTAGTGATGCACTTCTAGTAACAAGCATTAATATTAAAAAAGTAGCTAAAATACTACATTTTAATATGGATAATGTTTTATTACTTTTAATGTTGATTCTGTTTAATGTATTAAATAGATACGTACATTCTGCAGCAATCAGAATTTCGCTGCCAGAAATCAGACAAGAGGATGTTTTTTTAGATGTGGGAATCCAAGGTTATGCAGTCGAAGGCAGTGGAGGGCTTTGTTAAAGACACCATAAATCCATCCAACTTTCTTCTGCAGCTCCCAGCTAGCTTTGCTCAAACACTGCAGAAACCAACAGGTTAGTTTATTTTTCTGTAAACCCTTTGTCAATTTAGTCAAGTTGCAGGTACATAAGCAATATAATGTCATCATCATTTTGCCCCAGGTGTAGCAGTCTCTGGTACAGAGACTAAATTCTCCCAGTATTAGCTTTTGGTGAATTATTCTTTTTCTGTCCTACATATAATTTTATTTAAATTATTTTTTTGCTTGTTATGCTCTCTTTGACATATTACCTGCACTTGTTCTCTTCAGTTAGAGCCTCCCATGAAACACTTCAGCTTAGGATAAAGGGATCCATTTCTCTGAACCAGTGTTCATTCGCTGAAGTGCTCCACAGTTATCCAGATCTTGCAAGGTCAACTGCAGAAGAGTTTCCTTCTATTTGATAACACACTCATATTGTTTCCTTGTGTTTTCCCCCATGCAGTGCTCTTTAAAGCTGAGCATTAGCAGTTATTCTTATTATAAAGAAGACCAATGAAAGAACATTTTAAGAGGCTGGATGGAAAGTGAACAGTGTAAAATGTTTGATTTATTAATCATGTTGTGTTCTTAACTGCCTTGTGTCAATTTCTTTAACGCAGTTTGATTTTCCAAAAATGTCACTCCTTTTTCAGCCTCGATAGTTATACCTGCTGGCCAAAATGTTCAGAATTTTACAGCAGATATGGTAAGTTGTAAATGGTCTTTTGAATCTTTACATATTTAGGATTTAATATTGCTTCAAATTATATTGAAATACAGCATGTTGCATTGAAAAGTTAATAAAGGGTTAGTTTGAAGACATGCTGCTTAAATGCTCAATTTCCTGAATTGGTTAAAACTGTGGTCTATCAGTTTTGTGCAAAATGTACAAAAAGATACATAAATCATTCAATTCTAAGCTATTAATTTGTGTGATTTTCTTATATGCAAAACTTTAAGGGCTTATTCATGTGTTCAAAATGTTGAAGTAATTTCCTGCTGATTTACATGTAATAAGGGAACATTTCAAAAGGACAACTCAATTTCTGTTTCTTAGAGAACTCCTGAATGATAATGAGAAATGCAGTGGAACTCATTAAAAAAATTCCTTTTATGAAAAAAAAAGTATATTTACTAATTCAATTACATATTTTTTTCTTTATGTAGTTAAGCCTACTGTACATCACAATTGACATTGGATTCTCACAAACCTGTATTTTTGCAAAGGACTGGGACCACGAATAGCTTATTACTGCCTCTGAATTGCAGCACAGACAGAATTTAATCATTCCTTTACTGCCCAAGGTGTGTTCAGTCATTTCCAAATGGCACCTTCCTTTGAGGCTGACTGACATTCCTTCCATGAAACAAACTGCTGTGTGAAGGTAGATTGCTCCTCTCCCCCAGCGGTGAGATGACATTAAAGAAATCCATGCCAACAAAATTAAACCAGCCGGCTGATTGAAGAAAACCTTTAAAATCCTTTATTGCAGTGTTTCACTGTTGCTGTCTCCTGTAGTTATTTCATTTGGCCCATGTTTCCAAATGCATGCATGAAAAAGCAATACATGGAGCAGGCAAATAAGGCAGAGAAACATGAGCATTACTGATGGAAGAGAAAGCCCTTTAGTGATCTTGAGACTGACTTTTTAATTTCATATTTACTGAGCAGATGAATAGCACATATTTTTAATTAAATGTTAGTTCTGAGTAGGCAGAGATCGCTTGCATCACAAGTGGGACAGGCTTAGATTTGAAATACCTTTGAGTGCATACTTGTACAAATCCCAGACGAATGCCAATTTTTTATGTGTATATATATTTGTGTGTTTGTTCAAAGATGAAGCCCCTTGAACTGAAATATGATCAATACCAGGGCCTGAAGAGACCAAAAACATGGATTCTTTAGGTAGCAGATATACAGAAAAAGACTTAAACTGAGATATAATGACTTAAAAAGCTCTTTATTCTTATAACGTTTTTACAATCATTCTATTATGATTACATTTCATTACATATAAGCATCTTGGGTCCAGGATTTCTGTATATTCTGTGCAGAGTTTGCACGAGTTTGTCTTACCTGGTTTTGCTGGGTGCTCCAGTTTTCTCCCACACAACAAAGGCCTGCTGCTTAGGGTAATGGGCAGTTCTGTCTTGTGCTGGCCAACGCTGGAGCGGACTGACTTCCCATCCAAGTTTAGTCCCACTTTGCAAGACTCCAGCTTGCTGTACCTTACCGGCAATTATCTGTTTCTGGGGTGTGCATCATTATATAAAAAGGGGTACACTACCCTCTCACCCCTGTACTGCTCAGCAATTGGGGCGGCGCGGTGGCTCTGTGGCTAAGGATCTGCGCCTGTGACTGGAAGGTTGCCGGTTCAAATCCCGCGGCCGACAGAGGAATCCTGCTCCGTTGGGCCCCTGAGCAAGGCCCTTAACCCTAACTGCTCCAGGGGCGCTGTACAATGGCTGACCCTGCACTCTGACCCCAAGCTTCTCTCCCTGTCTGTGTCTGTGTCTCCATGGAGAAAAGCTGGGGTATGCGAAAAGACGAATTCCTAATGGAAGGAATTGTATAGGGCTAATAAAGAAACATTATTACATTATTATTAAAAAAATGGAATTCAAAACTGGAAGAAATGCAACCAGCTAGAGCAGACGGATAGAGCTAGAGTGATGGTGGTAATGTAACTAATAGAGGTGGTATGCCACAACTGAATAAAACTACAGAATGATTGGCTTCTGTAGCTCTGGCTATATTATAGCCCAGTGTTACAGCAATGCAGAACATTAACCATTTTCAACAATGTGATGAGCTAACTCACTGTAAAATGGGAAAAAATCCATTTGAGAAGAACATTCATACTCCTTGCTGGAGACAGACTTTTCAACACCATGTTATGACTAGCGAGGGGTTAGGTCACACTGACATGTTGATATGATGTACAGAAGTAGTTTATTCAGAGTTTCATTAAAATGGTATTTGAGGGGGACGGTGTAATTTCTATTTATGATCTATAAGCCTGGTAATGGAGGTAATGTTTGATACGAGTATTCAAAATCCTCAGAGGTGTTGATAGTCAGTGCAGTGGATGAACAGTACCATGAGCAAGAGGACAAAGTGAAAGCTACATGGAAGGGCCTTTAAAACTAAGAAAAGGCCTTTTGTTACTCAAAGGATTGTAGGCATTTGGTATAAGTTACCAAAACCAGGTAGATGAGACCTTGGATCAATAAACTGCTAGCTATAAATGTTTGTAAACATTCTTAAAGTCAATGTTATGGAATTCAGAACATTAAGAAGTTGAACAGGTTTCAGAGCTTTTTTAGGATGCTTGTGCATAAGAGGATGATATAATTCATTTTTTAATATGAAGGATTAATTAAAAAAAATCTTGCTTTGCTTTCAGAACAATTCTGGGTCAGCAGCTACTCTCTCTCTCCCTCAAGGTGTCAGCTATCCAATTCAGATACCTGCTGGAGTCACACTACAAACATCCTCAGGTACAGGGCAATTGGGTACTAGATAGCCTAATTCTTTACATTGTGCATAATTATCCAACCTTTGCTGACTGAATAATCTTCTCTCTATTCGCTTAAAATGCCTCCTGGGTTTGAAGCTTTTGTTATCAACAAATGGTTCAGACCTTCTGATAATACTACACACTTCATGTGTTACTGCATGAACTAATTTTCTGAGCTATAAAAGGTGCTGTTTGAGACAATATGACATTTAAATAGAGAAAAAACATCCACTTACATTTTCACTCTAGACCCTAGGGAAAAGCTAGGAAGTAAAATCTGCAGATTCTCAGGTTATGCACTTGTGTGCTATAGATTATTCTGTACAGAAATATGGTTAGAGTAAAGGTGTATTCATTAGGTGAAATATGTTCCTGTGCTATTGTGACTCTCTATGATGGAGTATACAACCTTATTTCTAACCAATTCCATTTCTGGTCTTCTGAATCCACTGTATCAGAATGGCCTGGCAAGGTAAAAATTATTTTGTAAACAAGAACTCTGTGTTTCAGTACTAAAATGTCAGGGAAGAGTCCATTCTAAAACAGACTCATAATTAGAATGTATTGTATTCATTATTTTCTTTAGTTCTATTGTTCCTATTAAGCTGAATAGAACAATTAATTAGAAGTGTGCAGTGTATAGCTTTGTAAAAAATACAGGCTTGGAGCAAACGTATGGCGCTTAGACAGCACAAAACCATGAATGATGAATGCCTGTGTGATTCAGCTCTTTAGTAACCTAGGAGAAGCATTCCTGTTACATTTTTGGGGAGAATGTTGAAGCCACACATCAAGATTCGCTTGCTATACTTTTTTCATTGCTGAAATGTTGAGCTGTGTAGCTTTGGATAAAAATTTAAACTTGTTTCCTTTTTGAATAAATGTCCATTTCTTAATGTTTGCTCACATAGAATCCAGTATCCTAATTTAGATTTCCATAGAAACCATGATACCAGCTTTGTAATGATAAATGGGCTTCTCCTTGCATCTGTTACTTGGCAGACAAAATGGATGCTCAGCATTCATTAAAATAAAGTGCTGTGCTGGAGTGTATTGATGAGTACATCAATATTTGTGTTACTTAGCTGGTTGTTTCCTTTTTTCTGCAGGGCATTTGTACAAAGTCAATGTCCCTGTGATGGTGACGCGGGCTCCAGGAGGTCAGCGCATTTTGCAGCAGTCGGTCCAGCACTTGTTAGAACAGCGTGAGGCTCCTGAGGCCCAGGCTGCTGCGCCGCAGACGGCCTCAGTCCAAATCCAGTCAGCCGTCATGCAGTCCTTACCTGAACAGAGGAAAGACCTGTTCCAGCAGGGGCCTTCTGGACAGCTTCTGCAGCAACAGCTTGTCATGGGCCAGTGTGTGCAATCCATACAACCACCTGTACAGCAACCTTTAGTCATTCAGCCTGGGGTGGCAGTCAGTCAGATCCTGTTACAGCACAGTGACAGCTTGAGCGATGGTCAAACTAGTGGGGACACCCCACAGATTGATGTGAGCCAGGCATCTTCAGTGCAGCAGGCCTTTCCTGCCCAGCTCGGTAGCTTTCAGGTAAAGCCTGATTCACACCTGCTTAGTGCTGATGTAGTGCGTAACAATGAGGATCCTGGTGTGGTGGCTGAAAAGCCTGAGAAATCTGAATGCAGCAATGTAAAACAAATGAATCTCCAGTGTCAACCAGAGGTTTCTGCACAGGTAAGATAGCAAACGTCTACAAGATACCAATGAATCCCATTAGGCTTATCTAAAAGCAAGCTTGTCAGGGGCAATAATATAGTCCTTTAGTTCACTAATTAGCCACATTTTAGCATTACAGATGTCTCACTTTTTTTGTTTGACTCAGATGCTTTAGAGTCTTTATTACTGCAGTTCAGTTCATTTGCTTAAATAATTTCTGCTTTCTTTTTTATTCCCATTAGGGACTGGTAATACATGCTTAAAAATAGAACAGGCTTTGTGAAGTGAAAAAAGATGACGAGCTAATCCGTGCATCATTTTTAAAATGCCAACCGTATGCAATGTAGTATTATTTTTCTTTAAAGCCTGGGATTAACGTGACAAAAGACTACAACTACAACGACATAATTGACATAGTCCAGATTGATGGTACGTGTGACAGCTCCTCTGACGAAGGTGCAGGCACCCTCAGAGAAGTGGGTGAGAATGAGTTCCTGGGGATCATTGATGCAGAGGACCTGAAGGTGTTAGAAGGAGGAGGAGGGACCAGCACTTCAGACAGCTCCACAAGTGACACTGACGATGACCCACCTCTGGAGGAAGTCGAGGAAGTGAGTAGAAATATAAAAGAAAACTGAGGTAGACAGAACTTTTGTTTTTGCCAAACATTTTAATACCAGCCAAATCTGGTATCGATAGAATACTTATATACTGCACTTAATGTAATTTTATTCATCCAATATCTGAGCACTTACAGGGTTGTGTGGAAGTGGGATCCTATCCCAGTAAGCAATGCGTGCAAGACGGGATACACCCTAGACAGGATGCAAGTCCGTTGCAGGGCACACACAGACATGCACACACTCGCACCTGAGCCAGTTTTCTCGGAAGCCAATTAACTTACCAGTATGTCATTGGACTTGGGAGGATCAATGTAATTCAAAATAGTACATTGGTAAGAATGCTCCGTTTACATTTCTGCTTTTTAGAGCTGCTTAGGTATATACAATTATTAAAAAAAAAGAGCAGATTCAAACATTAATAATCCTTCAGTTGGATGGAATACAGCATGTGATAAACAATGGAACAATTTACTTTAGAAAGCATGTATCTGATAAGTTTTATGATAAATGGTCATTTTAATTATTATTGCAAGTAATGTTAATTTTGTGTTATTTCTTTTCCATTTCATGACTTCTGTAGAATTTAAAGAAGCTTTCGGATTTAAGTCTGCAAGGCTGCTGTCAACAGATGGTGCTGTTGGATTACTGAAAGCGACTTTTTATAGATACAAAATGTTTACTCTGTTGATATTCCTGTCTGTAGATTTATATACTATACAGCAAAAAATAACTGTCATGAGAATGACTATTTCTTTGTAGTAAGTGCCTTTATGTTTTATTAGATGGGTAAATTCATTATGCAGATTAGCATCTGTCCTCAAATGGGGGTCTACTGTGAAAGTCCCAAATTAGTAGTCTGTATGTCCACCCTTTGAAGGAATATAAGATGTAACAATGCTTGCTTTGCAGTGGTTTATAGATTCTTGTAGGATTTTGTTCCATTGGGCTTGTAGAGGCTGGCCATGCATGTATCTGTTCATTTTTCTCGTAGTCCTAGTTGCCGCACGTTGTCCCAGCTTGTACAACACATGTTCAACAGGGCTCAAGTCTGGCATTGATGGCATAACCATCATTCTCGTCTCACAAAAAAGCCACTGTTACACGAGCAGCATGAGAAGTGTTGTCCTGTTGGAGTGTTTTGTCAGGATGAGCTTGTAGGAAGGACTGAAATTGAGGTTAAGGGACGTGGTCTATGTAATGCTGTGCTATCAGTTTGCCATCGAGTACTACTAGTGGTTGTCTGTAGCAACTAGACTCTCCTGTCGAGACCATCATGCTTGGACCTCTCCTTTGACTGGTCTGTTGTACATAATTAGAGTATCATTCATATTCATTCTGCATCTCACTGATGTCCTTTGGGATGGTCTACACAAAACCTTGATATATAACTAGAGAGTCTACAACAGTGATAGCACAGAGGTGGTATTCTCTTGATAAGTGGGGCTCAGTGGTTCTTTTTTGTGTTTTATTGATTTTCACCAGCACTGACATTCAGAAGGTTATAAATCATTATTGAATCAAAATGATACCTAAAACATTGTGTCTTATGCGTTTATCATGCATACTTGTAAAAACACAATATATTTCTAATTTATAATGTGACCTGCACTCACAAAATTTTATTCTCAGCATCAGTAATTATTGTAACCCACTCTTAAATATGCTTCAGAAATAGCCACAGGCAGCCCTTTTTTTCTTTAAATTAAACTTGAATTTATTTTTCAGATTTAGGCTTGCAGTTCAGGATACTTTTAAATCTGTCTGACTTTTAGAAAATAATAATCTTGAGAACCTGAAAATGGTTTTGGGAGACTGTTCTCTATGTATTTAAAAGTATTGAAAGAGGAATTTAGAAGAAATATTTCCTATAGCCCATGGGCAACAATGGTGGGCGTTTTCAATGACAGACCCAGAACTCGTACCATACTGGGTTATTCGAGAACATTGCCTGCTGACTAGATGAACATGAAGGAAAGCTGATGGAGCAGCGAGAGAAGAGTACTGGAGCATGATTTCTCATCTCTAGGTCTAGTGTCTGCTGTTTGGCTGCTTGAACCCTTTTATTAACAATGACCACTAAAATTTGATCGATGTGTGGTGGATTATGGTTCCATTTCTCCCTCACATTTTCTTACAGTCTACGTAGTTTTCACTCTGGCCCTCAGACGGTAGTTGATGGAGTTTTCATGGGGCTGTCATCCTTTTACAGCAGGTGATAATTTATAGGTCTGTATGGCACAGCTTGAAAGGCAGTCAGAACACAGTACAAGAAATCTGCCAGGATGCCTTTTTCTTTTTTTGCCCTTCATTTTTTTTTGTTTTGCACTGAATTGATGATATATTATCCATTAACTAAGGAGAATTAACCAGGTGAGAACACATTAAGTAGCATACACCTTAAAATTTTTGCAAGTCTGACCCTATAATGCATTGTTAGTCTTTTGAAGAAGATAGAAGAGAATGTTCAGGAACATTTTGACATTTACCTTGCAGGGAATCATGACATGTCTGAGGCTGCAATTAGAGTTTGATTGACATTCATATTCTTTGGTTTCTATTTTTTCCTTTCTCCAGAGGTTTTTGTTGCTCATTTTAAGTAATAGATAGTTACATGCACAGATTCTTGCCTTAGACATTAAATTTTGAGAGAAATTATTGGTAGAAAATTGTCTTCGATTTTTTTTTAAACAAGTTTTCAAAAATGAAATTGGCAAGGAGCTAAAAAAAAGGAACACGTTGGTATTATAAGTTGTACTTCTGGGGGACTGTGGATGCTGTGTAAAGATAAGTATGAAGTTTATGTATTCCACTCCAGTCATTTTTGAGCCAGTTTTTGATATACTGTGCATTATTTCATGCATCCTAGTGTCCCAAACAGCAGGTATTCTTAAAAGAAGATATATCCCATGAAGCCTTGGTTAAAAGCATAAAGTGACTTGAATTTTAGAATTTGTTATCCCTGGGACAATGAAATGTCTAGAACAAATACAAATGTAGATCATACTGGGTCATACTGAGGAAGAAATTGATCTTGGCTATTCCATTGGAAATGGTTCAAAAGCAGAATTCTATTTGTTTTGCAGTTTTTGAAGCAATTTAAGGGGCACACCAGCCTTTAATCTTTAATGTTAAAGAGTTTTGCTCAGTATTTCGAGTACAACCGCAATTCAGTTTACAAACGTTTGGTTTTCTTTACAAACAAGTGGGTCTGAGCCAAGAAGATGGCATTTATATTCTGTGAAGAATCTGCTCTTCTTTTAAAAATACAGCAAACAGTTTAGAAAACAAATTAATCTGTAAGTAAAAGGATACCAATCCAAACATATTGTGCTCTTTGCAATACCTGTTGCAGACTGTTGGTATATCAAGTCATGTTCACATGAATGTACAGAATAACATCCACTTTCACAATAACAAGAAACATGGAACATATGGTGTTACAAATCCTGCTTGACTTTGTTTCCTCGTGGTTACTGTGGTCACTTACAAAGACATACAACTTATTGTCAGTTCCTTAGCATGCATGAAATAAGCCTTTTTTTGACCTTGAACATGAGACTTTGCATTTTAGAAGTAACCTTGTGTGAGCCATTATGATCTTGAACTCACATACTAACTTTCATCCTGAAATTTATTAACAATGTTGCAGGGGAGACCCTGCCAGCTGCTTGCATCCTCTCCTTCTACCCATCCGGTGAAGGCCAGGGGTGGGTTTGCTCCAGTGGAATTTTCCATGTGTTGAATTCAGAAAGCATTAAATATTAATTGAAAATATGCATGTGGGCAAACAGATGGTCAATCTGTTTAGTGCAGCACTTTTTCCAGTCTCTAGTAATTTTCAGATTACGTTTTCTATGTATATATGAGGCACTTATTATATATCATTATTTTGTGAAACCTATGCTTAGTCTGTTGTGAACAATGTGGAAGCTTTCAGATGCTCCTGTGACTCATTACCATAACTTCTACAGTAATGCTACCTTCCCTCTTAGAACTTCATACTGTTTCATTCAAGTTTTGAAAGGTCAACCAATATGAAACAGTGCATCTGCTTACCTCTGTCTTTGGGTAATCTTCCTTAATTACATAGTCCATTGTTATTTCTCTTGAATGCTGCTATGTTGGGAAAGTGTTTACTTTAAATCTCTACTCTCCCAGGATCCTTTAAATTCTGGAGATGATGTCAGTGAGCAAGATGTACCAGACCTGTTTGACACAGACAACGTTATTGTCTGCCAGTATGATAAGGTAGGTAACATTTCCCATTTTAAAAAGTGCTGCCGCTGTTATGTGTGAAATGAGGAAGATGGCTCATTCAGCAAAATAAGGGTAATAGTTTTTCAATATCAATGCAATCAAACATTTCAATCATTAAAGGGTATTCACTCCAGGATTTCAATGCATTTTTCTTATATGCCTGTGAGCTTCTTGCAAATCAAATTATAAAATATTCTTTGATGAATGTGCTGTTGGAAATATTTCTAACTTTAGATTCATCGCAGCAAGAACAGATGGAAATTCTACCTCAAAGATGGAGTAATGAGCTTCGGGGGAAAGGACTATGCCTTCTCTAAAGCAATTGGCGAGGCAGAGTGGTGAGGGTACCAGGAGAGGGAGCAGTTTGCTTTTGAGAAGGGTTTAGGGTCAGCAAGACTTGAGCAGATTGAAACCCTGATGTAAGCATGGTTTGTGAGAAGAAAAAAAACTTTATTTAGGTTGATGTGGAGCAAATGTGATATTTAATGAACTGAGAAACAACTACAAAGCTAAAGTGTCTATGCAAATTGAGCTGTTGGACTGGAAGGATTTATAATAAGCTATTATAGTGTATTGCTTTTCTGGTTTATTTTTTGTAATGCCATTAAATTTGTTTGCTTCATTTGGAAAGTTGCTTCTGAGCTTCCATCAGGAGAAATATTCACAATATTACTAATAACAGCTGTATTCCTACATAATTTATCCAGCTGTATTATGCAGTCTGACTGCAAATGAGTTTCAGAATGTTTAAAGCTGTTTTGTGGATGGAATTATAAAACACTCATTAGCACCACTTCAGATTGGCCTAGATTTATTTGGAAAATTTAGCAGCTCTGTTACTTCTTTTGGTTGTGAAATTACACAAGGTGTCTTCTTCAAAGAAATATATTTAAAATTGCCAAACATTACATGTGATGATAAATAGAAACATTGCTATGCATTGTATTTTTTTTTGTTAAATTTAATAAATTATGTGTTGCATGCACAGAAGCTGCCTGAATTTTTAATTAAGGGTATTTTTGTATCTGTGAACCAAAAATAGCACAAAGAATCTGAAAAAATGTTTTGGGTAAATATTTACATACAGTATCACCCTAGATGTGGGTACATTGGTGCTTGCGTATTTACAAAACACTTTGAAAATGTGTTTCTTTCGACATAAAATCTTGCTGAAGCAAAATAAAATCTAAACTGAAATCTGAAACAAAGGACTAATGAAATGATGAATAGGGAGTTCTGTGCATACACTTTGGGCTGTGACTAGATTCTTCATCATGAATGCTGTCTGTCTGAGTCCACATATTTTATTGTACTGACATTTTGAAGGATTGCAAGGTACCATGTTTCATTTTTTGCCTGTATTAAGCTGCCAATATTGTGTAGAGCCTTGCATTCTTTCATGCATATTTTGACTAGTTTGACATTCATAAATCTATATTTGCACAATTACATAGGATTAAGGATGGTACATTGACAATGATAAAATGCCACCAGATCTCAATAAGCAGTAAGAAGAAAATTAACATCACAATGTACATGGCATCTCACAGATAAAATAGCTAATTTTGCTGTTCTTTCCTGAGTTTCAAGTAGACTTTGTAATTAGATCCACATTCACTTCAGTGCTGTTCTCTCAGGCATGCACTCAAATTTCTATCACTGTGTTCTGGTCAGATTTGTAAATATGACTGGAAAAACTGTCTTGTTGCACAGTGTGGAATATTGTTATGCTTATCAAATTAAGTGCATGAAAAGGTAACTAGGGGTCAGTGCAGTGAAATCCACTTTAAAAAATGGATGAAGTGATGCCTGTGAAATTATTATTTTCATAACCTGTACTTTTTTGAAAATGTTTCACTACGCCCAAGACAGATTAAAAGTCAACCATACCTTTTATAATAAAATGAATGAAAACCTGCTGATATCTTACATTGGGGAAACCTGTATCCTTCTGGTTCCCCATGTCTCTATCTTTCTCAACATTTTTAACTCAAATCTTTCGGTTGATCACATGATTTCATTATAAGGGGCTCTCCCTTGTTTGACTGGATACAATGTGGACTCTTAAGCCTGCTGGTGATGAGCCGAAAAAGGCACTGAGGCTTATACTGCATTCACCGATTCCCTCATTATGGGATTGTCCCAAACTCTTGAATCTGAAGATCTAATCCCTCAAACTAGAATTCATGATGGAAAAAGCAGCCTTTTCAGGTGCAAAATGGATGACAGTGTGATCTTCTCTTTGTGATTTTTCAAATGCCCTGGGTCAAGGTGTCCTGATTCTGTCTGCTAATTGTTAGCTGGCCTTTTCAGCAAAAGCTACAATTCATTAAGTGGAAATGCCATTTTTTTCCAGGCAATGTTCCTTTTTTTTTCTCTAGCCAAAGTGTATTAATACTTGCTGTTTTATTTCTGCAATGCTTAAAATATTTACTGTTGATGCTTAAATACAAATAATTATCATTATGAATGTTAATATAAATGAAAAATGCAATCATTTCACAAGTTAGGAGTTGGAATGAAAATAATGCTGATTTATTAAATAAAAAGTGATAGTTATACTTTAAATGTAACAACAAATTGGGAGAGGATCCATATACACTTTGCAGAAGGATTTACGATGAATACCACTAACTGGTAAAGAACTAGTAAAAATAGATATGAAGCAGATTTTCTTCCAATATTTTGACTTTATTACAAAAATACTACACAAAATATATATTTGTGTATTAATCAAGCACCTTAGTTATTCCCTCCTGGTTTGGGTTTTATTAACATTTCAATGTCTCTTCAAAACATAGTAAAGCTACTTGTGCTTTTTTGTATTGTAAAAGCAGTCCTTTATAACCAACTGCATAAAATCCCTGAAATTCAAACTGCGAACTCCCAGCCTTCCCTAACACAAATCCCTTTCATATTGTTCTCAAGGGTAGCTTGCAGCATTGTCCATTTGAGCCTTTTTCTCCAGGACACTGGCACGAAAAGGTAGTCAGGGATAGAATCGCCTGAGAGCTCCTTTTGGCACTGCTGAGCGAGCTGGCGTTTCTCATTGCTGACCTCTGTGCAGAGAGGCTGCGGGTCCTATAGAGGTCAGCTTGGGCCTTGCAGCACCCAAACCTGCTCAGTAGTATGAAGACATCCCTTCGAAATGCCCTGGTGAAGATTGCATAAAGGAAAGGGTTTGAAAAGGAGTTGATGGGATAAAAGAGGACCAGAAGAATCTTAGAATGGCTGATGGTGATAAGGGGCATGCGGAGCACAGCTGAAATCGCAAAGAAAGATATGGGTGCCATGCAGAGAAAGTCCGTGAAGATCAGCACTGCCATCCTCTTGGCGATCTTGGCGTCGCTGTTCTTGGTCGCCAGCTCGGGGTTGCGCACCGTCAGGTAGATTTTCACGTAGCAGGTGCAGATCACAAAGAACGCGATCACGTTGAGAATGAGGATGAAGACGATGTAGCCCTGAGCCATGGGCGTCTCGATGTCCATCGGGAGACACATGCTGACTTTGCTGTAGCTGCTCACCCCGCCGATGGGTAGCAGAGCCATGAGGAGTGAGAACGCCCACCCGCCCGCCATGACGGCTGTGGCGTGCCGCAGGCGCAGCTTCCGCTCCAGCTGCATGGCGTGGGTGATGGTGTGCCAGCGCTCGAGGGTGATCGCAGTCAGCGTGTAGACCGAGAGCTCGCTGGCAAACACAGTCAGAAAGCCAGCAACGGTGCAGCCAGCTCCCGTCTGCCACTCTATGGCATAGTTATAATACTGGCATTTGGACTTGTAATCAGTAAAGGCAATAAGAAGCAAGTAGACGCCCATACAGAGATCAGCAAAGGCAAGGTTACACATGAGGAAGCGTGGAACGGTGAGCTTGTAATGACTGGTGAGCAGCACGAGGAGCACAACAAAGTTCCCAGCAATGGCAAAGATGGTTATGATCCAGATGATGGCTCTCAGGAAGTTGTAGCCCAAGATGTCCTCACAAGGGTTGAAGGCGTCTGGCTCTGGTGTACACTTAATATGGGTGTTTGTTACGCACAATTCAAGGTCTGGATAGTGGAAATTGATACCAAAAATATCACTGCTGTCTTCTGAATACAGAAGGCCACTGTCAGAGGGATATCTGAAGTCAGAATTCAATAAATTAATAGAAACAGTAAGTACAGTAGCAAGGTTTATGAATTAAAGTGCATTAAATATGTTTGCATTGGATGCCAAAAACTGTCAATATTAATTATAAAAATGTACACATAATTACTACACTGGTACTTTTTAACCCAACTGTGCTCTCCCTTGTTGTTAATCTTTCCTCATTTCTTAATTAGTGAAAAATGAATAATTAAATGAATGTTACAAAACAATTAATTGGGCTCATGCCTTTAATACATATAACACAGTAGATATTCTGACTGGCTCTATTTTTAACTGGAATTTTATACATATATTTGCATTTGAGAAGTGTCATTTTTAGCACACCTGTTATCATTTATAATGATTTGCTTTGCTGATTAGCAGAAAGGATTCTTGGAAACTCATTAAGAAGCTAATTAGCTGATTTTCTTTTTAATTTATTGTTGTTTTCTGTCAACATACAAATGACTTACAAAATCTCCTGGTCTGCGACACCTGGGCACTGCCTGGAGAGGTTCATAAAAGATCCCAGAAAGACTCTGTCTCTGTGTAAAAAAGGAGAAAAATGGTTCATATTAGGTAGCATGAAATGTGAGACTTCCTAAATTTTGTCTATAGGCACTACACAGCTTTAGTAAAACTTCAAATGTTTAGAACTATATTAAGTAATATACAGACAACCATTAAAAACACAACAAATAAATATTAAAATCAATAATATTTGTTGTGTTTCTAATACCTCTCAGTAAATAAATCTGTAATTCCTCTTCATGTTTATAATACCTTTTAGCATAATGCTTTTATTGCTTCTAAATCTGGGGTTTTTGTGAAATATACAACATCTCTAGTAACTACAGAGGTCACAGAAGCATATTTAGTGTTATAAATCTTCCTAATCAAATTTCAAATTTCACAACTCCCATTTTCTGTTCAGTCTCATGGTAGTGTGGCTGTTCTGAGAGAAAATGAAAGCCTTATTAGTTTAGGATTAGTTTTTTTCTCTTTTTCTCCTACAAAACCACTCCAGAGAGATTGCAATAGTGCTTCAGTGGAGAAATGATTTAGCAGTGCTATTAAAACTTCGCCTTCTTCTCAAAGGCTTAACTTAAGTGCACACAGAAAATTCATTGAAGTGCAGAGGACTTTTCTAACCATATGCTTTAAAATATACTGGTAAATCGTAAGCTGTTTTCAAGGGAAAAAAAAGAAATGAGTAAAACCAGAAGCAGTACAAGGTTTTTCAGGTCCTAAAGTATTGCCCCCTGTGCTTGTTTATGAAGCACGTGTTTCATCAACAAAAATGAAGATGTAACTTTTATATTCTGTATGTGGCAGTGTATAAAGACCCTGCTTACTCCTTTTTTGCGTGCCAGTTCCTGAAGGCACAGCAGTGGCTGGGGTAGGTGAGCTGGGCCTCCTGCAGGCTGAGGAAGCTGTCCAGTGGGGGCAGCGTCTTGAGGGCGTGAGTGGAACGTGCGGTCAGCACCTTCACAGACTGCAGACCCCAGGCTGGGAGCGATTGCAATGCTGTGGAGGAGACGTCCCTGAAAAACACACTGCTGTACTGTACTATTACACACACACACCCCTACACTGGACCTTGAACGCTTCACAGGAACATTGGCCTGGATGACACGAATAGGCTGACATAGAAATTCCGCTTTGATTGAAAAAAAAACCTTGCTACATTTTGGTTCGTAGGTTACAGAAGTGTAATTGTGTTTTTTCAGCTAAAAAGAGGAGCCCCGTGATGCTTAGATCACGTTACCTTGGATATTTTTACCTTAAACCTTAAGTTAAAACATCCTTTTTAAATCACTAAACAAATATTAAGAAATGTTCATCTTAAAAAAAACATTAAAATGTATGAACTTGTATCTATCCTCCAACTTTTTGATCATCACATGTGTTTTCTTTTTTAATAGCTATGGCTTGTTAGTGATACAACTTTGTTACAATATTACCTGCCTATTTGCATAACCAAAAATAGCTACAATGCAATAACACACAGAAAGTGTAGACTCTGAGGCTGCTATCGCCTGCAGTTGCTTTAACCCACTATTGAATGACCAGGCATTTCAATGCCACACTGTCAGCTGTGAATGACATGTAATAATAAGGGATGCATTTCCTAGTGGTGTTCAGGCCTGGTGTCTTACAGTCATGACAGCTGCTGAAGATACCTAGTCTGCCTTCTCTCCCTGAGCTGTCAAACATGCCATATAGATGTAATTACAGGTTGTTGTGTGAAAGAAGCAAAAGGCTATGGTACAATTAATTTATATTTGTGCTGTAAACTGATATTTATATTTTGAGAAATAGAAAAATAAACCCAACTTTACTGTCGGGGAAAAGCTAGCACCATAGTTCTCTCACAGGGCTTAAGAAATTGCTTTGTATTAACACTTTGTTGCAAGCAGGAATGATCTACCTAGCGAATTGAATATTTTCAATACTGGATGACTATCTTAGAATAGCATTATACAGTGTCCAGGTTAAATATTTTCCTCTTAAACATTCTCTTCATAAATTGACAGGACGACTTAGATTCAGTGATAAAGCAACATATCTGGTCTCCTCTCATGTGGAACAATTTAATTTCTTGTGATACAGAGCACCTAGGATGTGACAAGATATATATCATCTACAATTAAAGCTGATAAGATGGGAGTCCATTAGCAAAGGTCATAATGACATGAGGTATAAGCAAGTGAAAATAACAATGATTTCAGACTGTAGAATTCGAACTCTTTCACATTTAGTATATTGCCTGCCATATTTGTTGGGCCTCTCTAACCACAAAGCATGTAACAATTGTGAACAAAAAATATTGCTTTTACTCTGTAAGTAAATAGTATGGACCTTTTTAGGTTAAGGGATTGGTGTCATTATAGTATATAAGGTCAAAAACAAATAACTTACAGAATACTGGGTCCTGTGGCTCCACTGAAGGCATTTTTGTGAATTCTTCTCAGATACTTGTTATCTTTAAGAACTCTAGGATTAAAAGAAAGATAAATTAATTTAAGGCAATAACTATTAAACTTCGTAAATTATACATTTTTAGGCAGATACGAATTTTTTTTTAAATAGATCTGTATCATTTAAAACATGGCTTTATGTTAAGGTTTGGCTTAACCCACTTGGTTAATGGGCAGCCTCCCGGCCACAGGACGAGGAGGCTCAAACCCCATTCAGGCTGAGTGATCCAGGGACAGCTGCAAGGCGGAGATGAGGTGGAGGAGGAATGGCTGAGATGGATGGTGGTGATAAGGGACAGCTGTGTGTGACTGACTTGTTGTTATCCTTCCCAAACTTCAGTTTATAACTTCCATTAATGTAGTGTTATGTATGGATCAGATTAATATTGGGAACATTCATTTAAGGGGATATTCACACAAATAATTAGACATTAATAGCATTAATAATAAAAGTTATGTTTTTAGTTCTCCTCTAAAGGTGAGGAAGTTGCCGGAAGATACTGTATTTTCACAAGTGAAAAGGCATGAACCATCTTCTAGGCATGAACCATCTTCATCTTCTAAGATGAAATGCACAATTGTACATGTAGCATAATCATTTCATAAAAAACCTATTTCTATGATTTGACCCCACATGTTGTTTATCCATTACAATAAACATCCATTGTTAGTTTGTAAAGCCTTCACTTCTTTCATTTGTATATGGAAACAAAAGTGAAGGATAAAATATTGTTTTACATAACTAATATATGGTACAGATGAGAAAACAGCACTGCACCGACATTATAATCAATGTTTTGTCTGAAAGATATGTATTTACTGGTACATAAAGTACCAGTGATTACAGGAGACTACCACCCCACTGAATATTTGAAATAATAGTGTCAAAGTATGATGTGTTTTCTGGATAACTCCAGCAGCTCTGGGATGAAAGTGAATTTCATCACATCAGACTGTCAAGCTGTTTTTGAGGCTTACTGTTATATCATTTATGGTTAGCTCTGAAGAGAAAAAAGAATACGTACAGTTTATCCAGTTTTGTTCCATTGAATGCATAACTCTGTATCTCTCTAAATCCATTTTTAAAAAGGTTCCTGAAAAACAAACAGTGAAATGTTTTCCTTCAGTGAAACTGAGGGAGAAAACATATGCTTTTTGTACTCAGTTTCTATATGTGTTCTCTCAGAACCTTTACAATTCTGAATCTAATATTGCATTTTGGATGAAATGGCACATTGCCAATTAGTACTACAGCTCTAGGCTCTTGAGTTCAAGTCTGAACTAGGATGCCTTCAGTTTGAAGTTTGCGATGGTTTACATTTTCCGTTCTGAATCCTTGCTGATTCCTTGTCAGCAACAGTCATACTCATACCTGGTCATAACAGGAAAAAATATTAGTTAATTCTGCTGAAACTCTTAATAATGTGACTGAATCCTTCATTAGATTAATTAGTCTACCACTAGCTGAACTACCATAATTTCCAGCTGTGTAGCCATTTAGGATTCCTACTTTTCTATACACCACACAGTGCACTTTTTCATGTTCTTAAGCCACTGTTAATTTTTACTGATTCTTTAAAGGCTTACTATCATGGTGCAATGCACGTCACATCGGCAGAGAAGATGAGTTTGTTGTGCACATCAAAGCTGTATATGTGTTCAAGATACGAGACCTGCATACCATCTTGTGGTAAGACAGACCAGCAAACCTAATTAATTTCAAAATTAGCCAAAAGAAGTATGAGGATTTTGCACTATTAAGCCAATATAATATAAGATGTGAGTACCTCTAAGGGCAGATCTATTTAGAAAAAACAAGAAACAGATTTTTAAGGAAAACCTAAACGTTATCTATTCATAAAGGTTACTCTATACCTTAGTAAAGGTGATTAAGATAAAGAAGGTTCTTCACAGATTTACCTTCCCGATGCTTTACTCACATTAGTGAATACTCTTCTGTCATTCCCAGAAAGGCATTGGGTGGGATTGTGGTTATGTGCATGTTGTCACCCAGTTCCCTGGAGAAACAAAGGCTAGTGAGATGATCAGACTAGCTCCAGTGGTTGTGGGCAATCAGCATTTTAGGTCTAATCAACAGTTATCAGGCTCCAGGTGAGCCTGCTGCATACTCACAGAAGAAAGGAGGATTCCAGCGAGGAAATCATTGTCAGATCAGGGAACACTCTGACTCCAGTGTTACAGATACTCCTGGTTAAAGGAAACAATACTTTAATTCTTAAAAATAAAGGTGGAAAGTACAGACAATGGCACAATGCAAGCAATTGGAAATCCTACTATCTAAAAGACACTGGACATTATTACAAAAACATGGAACATTATCACAACAAACTCACACCAATTCTTACAGATATTTTAACTTTGTTAGATTAGTGAATGCCCCCTTCTCAATGGCCACAAGCCGATTTGTATTCTGTATTACTCTAAAAAGAAAGAACAGAACAAACAAGTAAGGATTCAAACATTCAAGATAATAACATAACCAAAACCTAATATTGAATGCTGCATTATTCTGTGTTTAATGGCTTAAACTTGTGTTTTCTTTTAACTTTAAAGATTTAGTCTGGGTTGCCATGAACATTGTTTGTGAACAACAAATTGGACTCCACATGAAATTTAATTAACCTTTGTTTAGGTTTCTCAATCTCCTCTTTTCCATTTAATCAACATGATTCTTTTACAGCAAGTATTCGGTATTAATACTGTAGTAGAAATGTCATTATCAAGACCAGAAAGACACTTACATTTCATAAAGGTTGGGGAGATACATAAATGCTTGTCCTTTTATTCGTTTGATTGAATCACTCTGGACAATTTCGCTGTGACAGAGACAAGGAGAAATTATCAGAGGTAATTATTGCGCGGATATGCTGTTTGTGTTTTTGTTACTCACAAATCAATGCATTCATTGCAGCATTTATTATAAACTGACCATCAAAAGCAACATATCACTCTATACTGTACATGTACTGTATGTTTAAAAAATAATAAATATCCATCTGGATATTGATAGAATGTTTCTGGTGGCATTTTGATTAACAGATCATTTATGACTGACCATAAAACACTCCATTGACATTGCATAAGTACTCAATCACCTAATTAGTAAAAGTTAATTGGGCACAGGAGACAAGATGCACAGAAAAGAGCTAACATGCCCTGCGATTATTAAGAGAATAACACCTTTGTGCCATTGTTACTGTATGTTGGAAGAAGTACCTCAGTGAATCACTAGTAGTGAAGTAAAGTCCTCTTAAGTGATGAATCACAGTTTTATATACTGTAGATGATGTTAATGCACATCACAAAGATGTGCAGAACAATACACTAATTCTTGTTTAAAACAGAACACATATAATGGCCTGGTCAGGAGTGTTTAGGTGCTACAGAATTCTGCTAGTAGTGGTAGATGGCATCCTGAATGCTTGATGCTACATTTATCATGTAGCAGCCGTGAACTGCAGATTTTCAGCTTGTATTGTTTCTAATGGTGGCCACACTCACACATGCTACTTGTCTGTGAGTGTTTTATTAGAAATGTATTATATTGATGAGAAACAGTAATGATTAACATTGGTTTGTGTCAACAAGCAACTGCAAGAATAAAAGAGTGTGCAGCCAAATTTCCAAATTTCATATACTAAGAATGGATGCTCTTTACTTCTGATCATGTCATTTGAAACCCATAAGTCCACATTTCAGGGAAAATAAATGGCTTCCAGGTTCAAAAGATAAACAAGACACTGACCTGACCTTGTCTGTAATAGCTCCTTACTACTGGCGTCACTGTTATTGCGGCAGTGCTTTTTGTTTCAAAAACCTAATTTCATTTTTGTCCGCAGTCTTTGCATCTGCCTTAATTATAATTTCAGAAGATGTGCGCTTTTCCATAATTAACATGTCCTTTCAATTGTATTTGCAAATGCAAATGCTATTTAAAGAAAAACAGAAATTGGATTTTCATACTGTCATCTACACAGCCGGTGTAAAGAGTTTTCGATACCCATTCACACGGATAATTATAACATTCCACAATGGATTACAATCTCCAAGTCTTGTTTTCTCTCACACGCTTCAAATTTGTTTTCAAACTTTCTTTAAGATGTACAATGGCAAACTGTTTTGCGCCACCAGTGTATAACAGCTGTAATTTTCTTGTTTTAAGTACAACACACAAATTGAATATCGCACAACTGCCAAACATAAAAACACTTATAAACGCTCTTTAAGGCACTCAGATTATCATCATATTTTTATCCCTGCATGATGGTATAATTTCAAAGAGCTGTTGTCAGTCGTAGCAATAACGTAGTTTAAAATGATTATGGTTCAGACTGCCCAGGTGGCATATACAGGTATAATTACTATTTACAGGTGACATGAGCTTGTGCCTTGCATTGTCAGGTGCAGAGCCTTGTATTAAGTGTAATTTAAACTCTTGTCTTGATTATGCAGTCATTGTATTTTGAGGGGCAGCACAGTGGCAATTAGTGCCTGACAGCTATTGTGTCTTACATTCGATTCTGGTCTGGGTGAGCTTTCTATATGGAATTTGTATATTTTCCCCATGTCAATGTGGGTTTTCTCCAGGGTCTCCAGCTTCCTCAAGTCCAAAGACATGTTTCCAGGTTATCCGTCATCTCTAAGCTGCCCCTGTCCCAGTGTATGTGCCTTGTATTGGACTGTTGTCTTGTCTAGGGTGTAGACCCGCTGTGCATTCTGTGCCTGCTAGACTGGGCTCCGATACACTGTGACCTTCAACTAATAAAGTGGTTACTAAAATGTATGGCTATAACTGCTTTAAGGGAGGTGATACGCAGAAGCATGTTAAGTAGTATGAATAGATTGTAGTATGCAGAGCAAAGGAGAAAACAGTTAACTTGCTGCAGTGTTTTGCAATATTTAGAATGCTCTTAACTGTTCCTTATCATAAACTAATCAAAAATAAAACATTTGTACAAAAAACCTAAGTCTACAAGGTCAAAAACTGAGCTCAGAAAATGAAAGGCGCCAATAATGATATCCTGTATTGTCATTTGTTTTTTACCACAACGTTCATTTATGCATGCATTTCAGAGAAACTGGTCAGTAACTGTGTGCTGTAAAGCATGTTGCTATAATTTATTCTTAAAAATGCGAGTCACTCACGTGAGTTGGACTGTTTAAACAACCAGAAAATCTTTCACACTGCGAATACATTTGTCAATATTATACTTTATAGTCCTTATTACAACACGTCAGAGAATATTCTGTTGTCTCTTGGGGTGGCAAGAATATCAATGCAAACACATGGAAAACTGAAATACAGCAGGGCCTGCTAGGAAGGAGAGGGGTAGATGGGAAGCCAAGCAAAGGAATTACAAATGCATTGATAGATCATCTGCACTTATCTATTGATTGATGTGTACATTCTTTTCTGAAGTAGAGCCTTTGGTTCCTCAGCAAAGGACAGTCACAGCTACTGGCACAGATTCCTGAAACACTCTGCAATCCCTGCTCCTCTTATTTAAATTTGTAATCACACAGTAAACAAGACACATGCTGCTAGGCCTAATAAATGGGTCCCAGGTAATTGTCTTTGTGCTTTTGTGCATATTAACAGGTTACTGTTCTTGTAGAATCCTTTTTGTTTCTTTAAATAGGTAATGACATTTTCTAATTTAAATGAAAAATGCACTTCACCTTCTTCATCCAAACATTGTTTCTTTTGATGTGTTCATTCTGTATTACCACCAGAGGCAAACATTGTTCCTAGATGTTACTATTGTTCTTGTCAAGTCTGTATAATGAGTCCATTTGTACAATAAATTGCTCAATGGCTGCCTTCCTACATATCTAACATGCTCTTTTCACAGGTGTCTGAAATTGTTTCATTAGACATCACCAGAACATATTAAAATTTGACCAATACATATTCATTTGCATTCATTTTTCTTGCAAAGACCCACCCATACAATTATAATAACTACTTATTCCAATGCAGGCTCACAGTGAGCTGGAATTTATGCCATCTAATATGTTCTTAGCAGGATGCATCCTGGACAAGACACATGAGACAATTTAGAGATGCCAGTGAACCTAAACAAGATCTCTTTGGACAGTGTTAAGACATTGGAGCACCCAGAAAAAATCCATGGGGCCACAGTCAGAAAATGCAGACTTCAGACTCAAGGCAATCCAGTCCAGAATCCAAAAGCACTAACTGCCACACCCTTGAGACTCCTCTGCAAATGTATTTTAAAGATTCAATGTTTTTATAAGTACCATTTTAAAAATCCATTCATCCAACCATTTTCTGATGCAATACAATGCCCGCAAGGATAGGTGCAAAGCAGGAAACACCCTAAAGAAGATGCCAGTCCATCGCAGGGTACACACATACACACCAGGGCGGATTTTCCCAGAGCCAACTAACCTACAAGGTTGTCTTTGGAATATTGGAGGAACATACTCCATGCAGACAGCACCCCAGATCTGGAATTGAATCTAGTACTGCAAGGCAGCAATCCTAACAACTGCACTTCCATGCTGCCCAAATTTGTATCTGTTAGCTATTAAAGTTGACAGACATCTGAAAGGACTGTGCAGATATATGGGGATACAGCACTCCATTTTATCCATGCTTCATTAAGAGCTGATTTGGAAGCACAACACACTACCCACACACACACAATCCCACACCCTCCCCATCAGATAGATTTGGCCATCAGTTTGTCAGTTCAGGAAAGAAGCATTGGATCTGCTTTTCTTATTACAAACCTACCAATATCCAAATGAACATAATTTTCTTGAGCAAGCTTGTCAGAAATATATAACTGAGTTCTCCAGAGTACTATTTTAAAATGATCATTGAAGAAAACATTTTTTTGAAAATATTAAGTACATACTGCAGACAGGTTATTCAGAAGACAAAAATATTTTCAAGTTGTAGCTTATTTATATGAAGTAATGCAACAGCGCCAGGGTGGTGAATATTCTTCCAATGTCTTAATGAAGTACTGTATATCTTGTAATATGCCAGCACTTTCACTACTTTGTACTGCAACCTGTTTTACCTGATGCTGTACACGGTCTTATCTAACATGCTTTCTGCAATACAGTCTTTTACCACTAGACACAGTATTTTCAGTAAGAGGCACACAGTACATTAATCACATTTGGAATAGATTGTTTTGTTTCATAAATCAAATCCTTACAGGGCTACTGTTCATAAAAAAACTTGTTTAATAAGAACTGCAAATGGATTTCAAACTCACATTCTCGACACATTGATCAGTCCAGTGAAAGCACCACTTTGGATCTCTTCGAAAGGAAGATGAGTTAATCTTCTAGAAAAAAAAAAGAAAATGGATTTAAACACAGGGAGCATTTCCCAGATAAGGTATTTACAGCAGTGACTAGTTTTCATACAACCCTAAACATGTCTGAAGTATTTCAACTAGAGAACAGTTAAAACAATTGGTGACCTGAACTTATAAGTCAGCTCTAGTTAGCCACTTTTGAATCAACATTTAAAATCTGTGGATATAGGCAAATTAAGATAAAAGAGATAAAAGAGAATCACAATCCCTGTACAGTTTGTTAATGACAGTGCAACTTCACTTTAATGGTAGTGTGGAAGTCATATCAGAACAAACAACAAAACACAATTCTTTGCTAATAGATGAAGGAGGGTGTGTCTCAATTTCAGTTTCCGATTAAAGAATAATTACCCAGTCACCCATTCCGATAATGTATATATTGCCACATAATATATGTTAACAGTGATTCTAGCACAATCACTGATTGAAACGTCGAAGCAATATTTCAAATACTTAATGCAAACTAGAAGTGATTCATACCTAATAAATAACCTAAGTAAGAAGAGAAAGAAAACTGTTGCACTTCTTCTTATTTACAACGCAACAGTTTGCTTCTTTAAGAAATCAATTCCTAAGAAAATGAGTGGGAAACTTATTTTCCCTCATGTCGTGCCCCTTTTCAACTCCAGTAACTATTATCCTTTGAGTAACATAAACAAGCTGCCAGACGTAATACAAGTCAAATAACGGAAGAAATTTAACACTTTTAACTTTCAAAAAACTCATTGATGATAAAGTACACAACCATTTTATGATGACACAACGTTCTGTGCATAGATTCTAAAACACATTTACATATTCCTCTGTACTACTGTATTTCTAACAACGGAATTCGAAAAGTATTCGAGAAGTACTTGCAAAAGGGATGGATAGCATACAGTACTTACAAATTTCTAATATAAGAAAAGTCCCCTTTGGATGCGAGTTGTGTTTCTCTGGTACAGATGATGCTGTCCTCTGAGCACCTACAGATCCCTGGACAGGAGAAACTGAGGGCTGACAGACTCACGTGTAGCACACAGGACAGGGCAATCACCTGCCCGACACTCCGCACAGCCATTCCGACAGACTTTTCTCCCCAAAATGTATTTTGAAGGCAAAAGAAAGTAAAGCAGCTGTTGCAACCAGTTCAAGTAGTTCTCACGATCACTTTGACATGCCCAGAGAGTCTTTTGTACCTTTTCTTCTCCTACTCGGGATATTGAAACGTTTACGTCATCACGTTTGCAGGCTTGTTCTGGTCGACTGAGGTAGTGTATCATTTTGCAGGTTTGAGCGGAATTCAATTCCCGTACGCGTGCCCAACCATCTTATAAAGTTTCAGAGGTCTTTCACTTCGGGAATAAACTGATTCTTTTTCACAGTAAAGCTCCTGCTTTAGCTTTACATCGTTTTTTAATTCACTTTCATTGACACAATTTTCCTGTATCATATTTATTTCAGAGTTCAGTGATGGACCTTGGTACTTTATCCTAACCCTCAGTAACAACACTATTACAAAGCACAAGACACGTAGCTGATATTAGATACAAATTCAGAAGGGACAGGCGGGCAGCGGAGAGTCATCTGGATAAAATAACTTTCAGTTGTGTCGTCGACAGAGCAGCACTTATTCGTTGTCCTGGTACATTAATGCTGCTATAATCCACTTAGTAGCCAGTTGGTTTAAGATTTTTTTTACTATTTATATTCCCATCTTTCTAGCAGCTTTAGTCTAAACAGATTACAGATTAATACAAGTCAGAAACCTAGAGCTAACTAAACTAGAGCTGGTTTTAGTTAAACAATGGTATATCTAATTAGATTCAGGAAATATGTAGTATAAACACAGCAATGAGTAGAAAATTGGTTTTTCGCTATGTGTGTGAAAACTATATCTAAAACCAATAGTATATAATGCAATGCAACAGGCTTAAAGGTGAGGTGAAACTCTAATGGATAATGCAGGGCTGGCAATACCACAGATAAAGTGAAGTGTTACAACACAGAACATGTGATCACTTGGCATACGGCATTACCAATGACTCAAAAGAAGATGCCTCACGTCAGATTGTGGGCAGTGTCAAATATCGCAGTAGTGGTAACATGAGTTTGTATTTTAGAAGACTGAGAGACAGATTGTAGGATTGATGAGCCCTGTTGCAATAAGAGTTTCACAGAGGTACAGGAAGATGACCAGAGAAGTCAAAACCCTGGTGTTTGCGTTGCTTTGCAAGGGGGGAGTAAAGAAAGAAAATGTATGGTCATGGGAATAAAGTATAAGGAGAGAGAAAGAATTAGAGATACATGAGACATTTTATGTTTGTTCTAATGTTTGGTAGAATAGAAAAGCCTACTTTTAAAACCAATATGGTATGTATTCTGCGATGTGGTATACAAGCAATATTTTTGAATTCAGAATCTACTGGAGTAGGAGCAATGGCAGAAATATTTTGTACTTTCAATAAAAAATAGCTTTTCACATAATTAAAATACATAATTATTACAATTATTATGTCATATAATTACACTACATGAACATGTTACATAAACATAATATCTATAACTGAATATCTAACTTATACGAAAAAACCTCTGTGTGAGTCTAATTCTTGGAACTTAAAGAGATATAATACTTCGGTTAAATTTAATTGATGCATGAGTGAGAGAAATCTAAGTTTGCCGCGTTGCATTTCTGTGACACTGGTAAGCTGGAAAAGCACTGAATATGTTTGAATCAGAATGCATTGAAATCACATGATTAAATCTGAAGGTACATAAGCTTGAAGATATACAAATAATTATTTTTAAGGCATACATACATAAAAGAGAATAGCTGGGTAAGTGGTTTTCTGCCATTCACCTGGCAATACATATTTATTGGGGTAATAAGCTATAGTAGAATAAATTGAATTGCAAGTATGCAAATGTTCAAAATACTCAAATGTTAAAAATCTTCTTTTAAATGCTGCTGTACTTCTTATCTTATAGTCCTCTTGAATCTAAAGTTTAATAGTACAGCTCAATTCCTAGGTCATCAATGTAAATGAGATCATTGAGCTTAATTATCTTTTTCCCACTGGTTAAATGAGGTACATAACTAGCTAAATAAACAGAATTAAGCAGATGATAGTTCAGCTTAATGAGACAAATTTCCAATGTTAAAGAAGCATGACTGTATGAATCTGCTGTAGTCCCTGCCTAGTTGAACAAGCCATGCATCTGGGCAGGATCATTTATTTACAACAGGCTTAGTGCATCAGAAGGCAGGAGCAAGCTTCTCATTTAAAGGATGGCGAAAAGATGGGGTAGATGTGAGCACAGGAAGTCATTAATTTTCATTCGCTCAGAATTTATTGGGAGCACCAAGAGACTATTGCTATGTAGCTCTGTGCGTGACTGTAAACCAAAGTCCCCATGGAGAAAGAACAAGGAGTTTAGCTTTAGAAGGGCACTTCAGTCATTATCAATTTGGATATAATGGGATGAAAATTATCTTTAATGATCTGTGGGAAACCTGGAAAAGTGTAATGGAGAGGTGGTGGGTAAAGCTTTATAAGCTTTTAAGTCAAGCATATGTATAGTCAAATATTTTATAATATATAAATATAGGCAAATATTTGCAAAAACGAACATAAAAGTACTATTTGTTTACCACATACAGTTCAGTGGTTTGGCCAAATTCTAATTAAGTTAGTGTAGAGAATGCGATGTGCTGAAAGTTTGGAATGTATTAAAAGTTTATTTGGTGTATCTTGCCAGGCTGGGGGAATGGCAGCATGCCCAAGAGATTAAGCCTCACAGGATACTATTCTGTTCACAAGAAATGAGCCAGGGAGCTGCCTCAAGGGTGAAGATGGGGTGGAGGAAGAGGTGAATGAAAGAAGCAAAATGGGGTTACTCAGGAGGCAACATATTTATATGTAGGAGAGTGGATGTGGGAGAGACTGGAATTTGGCCTCACACACACAGGGATGGACAGCAGGAAAGAAGGAATGAGGTAGAGAGAGTGATGAAACACTGGAGGGTGGTGGGTAGGACACCTGACAATGAAACAGTACTGAAGGAAAGAGAATAGGGGGAGAGTGGAGGGATGTGGAAGTTGGGGGGGGGTTATTATCGATCTGGAGTTATTGGGAGCAGTAATGACATCAGAAAGAGACGGAAGACGAAAACAGACAACATGTGGTCTGTGGGAAGCTGGTTGTTTTCTGTGAATGTGGGTAAGTAGAAGTTGAAGATCTGCCGCTCAAGGTGAAGAACGATGGCAGCTTTGTGGCAGCACAGTGCTGTGGGAACTTACAGAGTGGAGAATAGAAGGCAAGGTCGGTCTCTGGCAAGAGCAAGTGAGAAAGAAGAGCAAAAGGTTGCTCAGGAGGTGAGATAATTATGCTTAGGAGAGCAGAAGTGAGTGAAATCAGAACCTGAATTTCTGTATTGGAAACTCCAATAAACTCTCTCAAGACGAGATACAGTCTGTCATGCATAATTCTATAAAATCTTGTATTTTGTGCATTTTGTTTCTTCATATGCTATATGAATTCAGCATTAATACTTCTTTAATGTACGCTTCAAAGACAAGACAAATTGGACAACTATGAAGTTATTAACACAGGAATGTTACTGAAATGTCCAGCTATGGAAGAATCAAATTGAAATAAATGACTGACTCAATAATCTTCAAGATGCTGCAGATCTTATATTGTATAGATACATACCAGCTGCTATTAGACCTATTACTTTGATTTCATTAGAGCTTACAACGTGTGAAGCTACAACTTGAAGCTAAAGCAAATATGTACAGCACAAAGCATTTTGAATAAATGATCTGAGAAAAGGCTTTTCGTTCTGAAGACTGAAGTGGGTTATTATTTGTCAGCAGGGCATGATAACATGATTGCCAGAGCTCGTATTTATATTAACTTGACAGATCAAACAATTGAGTATAGAACATCTCCTTGACCCGGGAGACTGTTTATAGTGCTCTAAAAACAGCAGCCCTGTTCTGTGGCGAATAAAGCCCCAGAGCCTGCTTTCTCTCTCTCATTCAGTTTCCTCATTACAGTGGGGTAGAGTACTTGCAATCATCTTCTGCACCACTCTCTGGAGCCTTGTCGTAATGACCCAAGGCTGCAATACATACCTGGCTCTAATAATAAGAACAACAATAATAATAGAAAAAATGCTCTGTGGGTTACCTTACTCCAGAACCACCGAATTTACTGTGTTGCTAGTGCCATTTGTAAAACTGAATCCAAGCCCTGTCTCAAAGAAGAAAATCCACTGTCCTTGTTAGAATTTTTAAAGTAATCAGCCTGGTAGTTCAAACAAATCTGGATTTTGATTTCTTATAATAAATGAGCATTGTGTGTTGTGGCATTACGGGGGGCGTATTTAATGTGGAGGCAGAGCCCTGGATTAAGGGCGATGCGTTGCCTTAGCAACCACAGCTGCCCTGGCAAATTTAGGATGAGGTGCAGCTGTGGAGGCCTTTTAAGAACACACTGAGCACATCCCCGGAGGGACAAGCAAGCAGGACTCTTGTCCCACTGCATATCCTTGCTGGGACAGGTTGAGTTTTTAGGCCTGACTCTTCTTATTCTCCAGTCTGGACCTGTTAAATAGGGATAGTCCAGACTGGATCCCGTTGCTCAAAGCGGTTCTTTTTCCCCAGACTGGACCCCACAGAATAGGGATTGTCCAGTCTGGATGCTGCTGTTCCAAGTGGTGCATTTTTTTCCATGACTGGACCCCGTTAGATAGGGATAGTCCAGTTTGGATGACCCATTTTTTTGTTTTTCCCTTTTTGTTTTTCCCTTTTTTGTTGACCTCACACCAGGGCCTCCACAGCCTCAAAACGGGACATTTTACCAGTGTTCTCCGTGGCTCCTCCCAGGAACACGCTTTGATTGAATTTCACACCCAACGTAGGGAGGTGGAACTTTGAGAGGTTATAAGATAACGTTCCTCCAAAACCTCTGTGTATAAATTCCATTTTAAACTCCTGTGTAATCCAGATGTTATCATGCTGCAGATGATACATTCTCAGGACCATTTTTTGTGAATGCCCCTGTGTTGTACAGACAGATGTTTCAAATATCTCATTGTCCTGTCTGAGAACAGCAGCCAACCACAACGCCTCATATAAAAAGAAACAAAAAGACTCTGCTGTTACCGGTTACCTCTCAGTTGCTAGTACTTGAACAAATTTGACAAACTGAAGTTTTTAGGGTTCTTCTCTCTATATTATGCAGATAAAATTAGGAGCACAGTTAAAGCATAATCAATAACTTTGCATTTAAAAATGTAAAGAAGAAGAGAAACACTATTCAACTATAATTCTTTTGTTATTTTCAAGCAGATATGTTGGTGATGAGGGCCAATTTTTTGGCTTTGTGAGATATAGGCATTGTCTCGTTCATTCAACAACAGAGGAAAATGTCATAATTTAAGGTTGTGGTGACAGGTTGTAGTTTATTCTTCATGACAGTGCAATCTTTTGGTGACCCCTTTGTGATGGCCTTTTGACATTTTACTGTTAAACTGATTGGAGCTATACAGTACATGCTCACTTTGAAGCAAAGTGGTTTTCAATGAGTCCCCTGTCAATGAATCTAGCAAGTACCCTTGAATTTAATTTACAGACATTTTAGTGTAGCTCACTGCTTGAAAGACAGTATATCTCTAACACAGCTGTGACAGAGAGGCCACCAGCAAATCATTCCAACAAAAATGCTATTGTACTGTACTTGGAAGCTGAGCAAAATTACACATGGATTATAAAAAAAGAATCAAGTAAAACTGTTTGTACAGATTTATCATTTTGAAGGTGTTTGAGTGAGGAGCTGTGGCAGCTAATGTTGGCTGCAGTGAAACAAGTATCCATAAATATTGTATTTCTCCTTTCTATTTTTCAGCATTCAATTTACCTTTACTTGAATTGTATTTTTATTGTGCTAATGGTCGATATTAGCAGCAGAATTTTAATCTGTGGTTACTGTCCGCAAAGCCCTTATGACTTCTGATTCATTGGTCTTGGGTTGTGGGTTTGATTTTGGATCATAATGCTTTCTGTACTCTGTCAAGTTCTGGGCTGTTTCTCCTGGTGCTATAGTTTCTTCCCAAATTCCAAAGACATGTGGGCTAGGCTAATTAAATTACTCTATGTTTTCTTTATGTGTACAGTATGTTTCCTGTAATGGATTGGAATCCCGTTCAAGGTAGTACTGTCTTGCATTAACAGAATAGGTGTGTGACCCAAGAGGCTTTCTGATAATGCACTAATAGAATGGTACTGTTTAAAGTTGTTTAAAATAATTCACTGTTATCAATTCAAATTAAGCAGCTAATGATTGCACCGTTGTATTTGTTTAATAAAAATGCAATTTTTATTAAACAAATACAAAACAAATAATTTAAAAACAGATATGTTTTCAAATGCGGAAGTTTAGGACAAGCAGCAAGAACTGAGGATCATATTTTGATATCCAAGAGGAAGAACAAGGCCTGCAAGTGGACCATTAGCATGCAAATAGAAAAAGAAAGAAGGGCAGTGGCGAGAGGCCTACAGGGATGGATAGCCATTCTCACTCCAAGAGGAGGGGAGAGGAACGGAAACAGACTCAAAGAGGACAGAGGAGGTTAATTCCAGAAATTTCCCAGGTTTTGTTTGTTAATGTGTCTTTAAATGAAAAATGTATTGTATTCACCATTTATCATTTTCAAGTCATTTTATTCAATGTAGAAATGAACTCCCATGAGTAGTGGATTTGCATTACAAATACTTATTGTAGTCAGTGTATTTCTACTGATTATATTGTATTTATACCAAATAGTGGCCATTTGTCTACTGAAGCAACAATTCAGGAAACCTGTAATTTAGGTCCTGTATACAGTGACTCTAATAGGGAAGTGTACATCCCATAACCCCCTGAAGCAATTTTATATTAGTACACATGCATATTAGCATATTCTTTTCTTCTGTCGTTGCCTCTATATCACTATAAACATCACATTCCCTGCTGATTGGGGTTTACAGGCAAAACAAAATAACTTTAAAAGCTACCTAACACTATATTGTGCAGTAAAAAAAATAATTCTAAAAATATTTGAGATTCAATTCAAACATAAATTTATCTCTTTGACACCAGTAATAACCTTGACATGCAATAGCACATGATGTGTCCACCAATAGCATGAGCCGAGGATCAGAATAATGTCAATAACACTGTCTTTATCACTTTGGAATGCACATGTCCTTGAGTGACTTACAGTGTACAAAAACAAAAATATAGGAAACTAACTGACCCTCGTGTAGCTGTTGTCAGTGAAGCTATATTTTTGAGGCAGTTTGAAGTTTGAATATTGCCTTTGTTGCTACTGTATTGATATATGTTGTACTTGGAATGCTCTTTGAATGTCTTCATAAGGTAATTTTCTCTCATCTGGACTTGAAATGGTACATTTGATTAAATTAAGAAGAAATGTACATTTTAGAGTTTAAAAAGAATAATCAAGGGTTTGTTTTCTTTTACAATGTTTTTAACTGAATCCAGATACATTTCTGACACTTTCAATCAAATTCCACTACAAGGGAGAATCAAAGTTTGTATTTAACGTTATATGAATCAAGCACAGGAATCATGAACTTTGCCTGTATATGTGTTAACTTTTCTTGATGTTTATGAATCACTTAATATTTTCTCATGGACTCCCATTACTACTGATGATGCCATCCTCCCACCAGCAGAGGGCAGATGCACCCCTCGAATGGTAAAGTTGAAAGACTCCAGTTTACATTCTGATTGTAAACATAGACGTTTCTCATTGTGGTGTTCTAGCCTATTGCTTATACATTTTGAACCAAAATGAACAGAAATTAAATATATACCGGTTCAACAACATCTAGAACTAAAAAATGTGTTGGTGAAACACATAGAGCAGCTGAATTTTAAAATCATATCTGAAAAGACAGAAGATTAAATAATTATACACAGGTGTAGGCTTCAATACCTTAATCTATCCCCTTCAACAGGAATTTTTATCTGAGGAAAATCTCAAGGCATGGAAGCATAGCTTAGGGGTTCTTTGCACATAGAATCCATCACAGATGTAATTAAGGGCCCGAGTGGCAATGCTGACTTTATTAAAGCTTGCATATATAAAAATGTCTTAATCTAGCACTGCAAACAAACTCCCACTCTTTGCAATAACGTCTCCCAAAGCTCTCTGAAGATGGCAACTGTATATACAGTCCAAACACAGCATTCCTGCATTTCATTCAATTACCAAAGCTCAATCACAGCACAGCTACATTTGTGTTTAGACTTTGAGGGCGTCTCCAGGTGTCAGAGCCCCGTCTGACCAGGCAATCTGCCTCACACATTCGCCACCGGCTCAACCCTACCAGGTCAATGAAAGCCTGCTGTAAGAGGGAGTTCCAGCCAGGAACCAAGCAGCCAGGGAAGTTGTTCTCCACTGCCTGCCAAATGTCCCTCATTTTTGTCTCATTCTGTTGAGGGCGCTTGTTCTTCATCTGAGTTGAGTAGTTCCACTCCTCCCCTCCTGTAGCTAGGATTTTTGCTTCTCTTGGGGCAAGACCCAGTCCGTTCACTGGGGATTAACCAATCCTTTCCAAGAATGTGTCTGGTTGAACCTCCAAGCACCAGAGCTCTGGCAGCCCACAAAAAAATTCCAGAGGTTTGTAATGAATCCACCTTAATGCCTGGCACTTGCCAGTGACTACTACAGAGCCCTCTACACCTGCTGTACCCATCTCCTGATCTCAGCCCTCCAGGCCTCATTAGCCTTGCACTGTTCAGCAGTCATCTGCACCTCCAGCAATTTTCTGTACTGCACTAGAAACATCTGTTAAAGATTTCTTCTGTACTACCTTGGCTGGTCACTAGGGGCCACTATCTCATCACCGTGCCACCATTTTTGGGTTCCAAACTAAGGCAACATGGCTCAGCAGATCTTTGCATGTGAGAATCTCTAACGCACATTTGCTGACCCTGACTATAAGTAAGGTTAATATAGTTTCATTTTGGCTCCAAATTCAGCCAATTCATGATCCGCTGCATCTGCTTCTCTCAGCCCTTTGTGAAATTGATACACCTTTATACGCGGTCTAAACATGTTTGATTAATGCTATATTTCTTTCAATTAACATGACATCATAATCAATTACAGGCATAATATGCACAAGTTTAGTCATGAGGCTGTATCTCTACATTTACCCTGTGGTCAGTGCATTCTCTGACACGGCAATCTGCCACACATCATAGTCCAAAAAGGCATCTGATACTGATGTTATTCAAATGCTTACTCCTTTAGAGGCAGTGGATCAGATTTTATGTGGGATCTGTCTTTAAAGTTATCACACAACCCCCTTTCTCAGGCAGCACAAGGCAGAGAAAGGAATATTACAATTAAATATTTTGTACAGAAAGAAAAGCTGTTCCACTTCAGGGATTACAGAAAGGATAAGTAGAGTTTGGAAAAGGAAAAACCAGATGAATCAAAATCAATAATCATGAGAGTACTTAATATAGCAGGCTGTACAGATCATTTTGAAATGTTAAAGACATTAGCAACACATTTTAAACACACTAAGGGTGTAAAACAGAAACACCTTAAACAGCTAAGAGAGAAGGTTCTTAAACTTGGGATTATTAGACAGATAAACACAGTGAGTGTTGTTTCACAATGATAACGTGTTTATGTGTTTCGGATTCCCATTCTACCAAGGCAGCTGACAGAAGTCTAAAGGATTCAAACAAAATTAGCTGTGTTTTTTGATCAAAGAGACACAATCAACAATTAGGTCATATTTTGGCTTAGCACGCAAAGCTGCCTGCCCCATAAATCCAACAGGATGAAAATAGAACAAATTGACATAAAATGTTCCATTCTTATTTCTTTGATGTCTCTTAAAGAAGATTCTTTGACCTGTTTCAAATATACTTTATCTTTGACATTAGATGTTATTTTCTGGGAGAGTTTTTTTTAAAATATATTTTTATAAGACTGTCAAGTTCTGTTCATTTTACAATTGCACTTATTACAAGCTAGTATATGAGCTTATCTTTCTAAATCCCTTTCTTAAGAACTGACTGTGGACTCATGGGTCTAGTTACGTTTTATTGTACAGGATAAGACACACAGTGTTTATTTTGTTAGGAGCTGCAGTAAAATAAGTAGGGCAATCTTTTTAAAAAGCAACATATTGACAAATATCACACAATGAACTAGAGGCATGATCTTCTCAGAAAACAAAAATACATGAAAAGCAGTTTAATGATCCCAAAGTAAAAGTAATGAAACAAGAAGCATTTACATCAGCTTAGTTTTGTTGCTGTATTTTTCCCTTCCCATGTTATAAAGTTCTAACAATCCCAGTTGTCATGGTTTTGATCTTGTATCATAAAGGTGTGTGCTTTTATAGCCTGTAATGACCACATTTAAAAAGTTTAAACTTATTTTCTACTTTTGCCTGTCTTCCTTACAGTCTCCATCTCCATAATTACTAACGGCGTGAATTTCACTGTCAGGTCACAATGACCTTGAATGCGCAAGATGTGGTGAATAAGAAGCGTCGGAGATATGAACACTGAATGAAATGGATGACTAGCATGTTCTAGCAATTACGTATTACTGCATTTTGATGCATCCCCAGTTCCAGTAATTTAAACACCACTATCACACATCACATGCTGTAGAGCATGCACAAAGATTTGCACGTTTGCTTTGTAAATAAATGACTGCATACAGTGTATATTAATGTATTGTACATATCAAAAGCCTACACGAGTCCCTATTACCTAGCTGGGGTAAGAGCGCTCAGCAAGTTGAGGAAATCCATTAAAAAACTGTCTTAAAATGTAAGTCTCATTGTGCATTTGGTTTTTTCTATGGGGGTCAAGCATCTGACCTCTCCAGTTAAATCACAGAAAAGCCAAATGTTTTAATACCAATTCACTGTGGGAACATTGCTAACTTCAAGATTCTGTCCTAGGAGAGGAATATAAAAGCTAATTATAAAAATACAGGTTTTTACATGAATTTATTGAACACATTTCTCATCTGAAATTGTTCCTCAGTAAAAAAAAATATTTGCTGAAGAAGTTGAGTCCTAATTTGCAAAACTAAATTTTAATACACTTATACACATGTATGCACACTTACAATAGGAAAAACAGCAAAAGACAAATTGAAACATTTGCATTTATTGTTAATGTAAATCTACCCCAGACTTTAATCAGATTATAATCCTGAGCACATTATGTCATGTTTTAAAGCTGCCTGTCCAAATATGACTTCCCTTGACCTGATTGAAAAGATAAAAAATGTCCTGTGTCAGCTGAGAGTAGAAACAGTTGCCGGCAGATCTTGTCCTCTTTTCTTCACTGCAAACTCCCAGCCTCCACAGACAGGCTTTAATGAAAGCACCACACAAAAAGTAAATTCACTATATACACACCACAAAACAAATAGAGGCTGAAAATATTAATCAAAGTATACACCATTACGTTTTAAGTTGTCACATACTGTACAGCTTGTTAAAACAGAACTAAAAATTTAATGTGCCTTGGAGGCAGAAGATTTAGTTATTTTGTAAGTGTACCTTTCCTTAAGACGTCTGTATTATGTTGGTTTGCCTGGATCCAGGACACATGCCATCAGACAGAATGGAGTGCCGAATAAGTAATACTCATGAATAAGAAAATATTGTTGGCACAACAAGAAAGTTCCATTTAAAAGTGTAGTTAAAACTAAAAAATACAGTACGTCTTTAAGTATTTGGTATTTAAATAATACCGGGAAAAAATGTCAGTCACTTCAGGATGCAGGAATAATAAAGATAATCCAGAACCATAACCTGGAAACGAATATTATGTTCAACAATCGTGGGGAACAGCAACAGCCTTTTCCAGATGAAGACCAAAATGTTCTGCATATTCAGCTCAATGTCAATAGCAGAAGGACACTAGTTCATTTTTTAAATGTGGAGTTTAGATGTTTAAGGAAAGAGTATTCAATCCTCGAAAGAGCAGTGCCAGGAAAAAAGATCTGAAAATCAGCCTCATGTTGCCCTGTGTACTCAATCATTGAACAGGTGATTGTGGTGCATCACCTTTGTTTCCTTTGCTGACTGTAGCTCTCCCTGGAGTGTTGTGCTGAGGGTCCAGAGGAACCAGTGAATACAAGGTGGCTTCACTGGTTTTCAGGGTGGAAACCCATGTTCCATTTCTGTTGTTGGAGTAGTGAGCTGAAGATGTCTCTGTTCTGTATATGTGGGCCTGTTTTTTAAAGCACCCGAATTGACTCATCAGAATGAAGAAGTCCCTTTTAAAGCTTTTGGTGAAGATGGCGTAGAGGAAGGGGTTGCAGCAGGAGTTGATGGGATAAAACAGGACCAGCAGGATCTTGGAATTGGAGACAGTGATGAGGGGCAGCTTCAGGGAGGCGGAGATGGCAAAGAAGGAAATGGGCGCCATGCAGATGAAGTTTGTGAAAATCAAAATGGCCATGCGCTTAGCGATCCGTGTGTCACTGCTCGCCGAGACAAAACTGGGGTTCCGAACCGTCAGGTAGATTTTCAAGTAGCAGATGCAAATAGCGAAGAAGGCGATGACGTTCAGCAGCAGGATGAACATGATGTAGGCCTGAGAATGGGGCGTGTCAATATCCATGGGCAGGCAGATGCTGACTTTCATGTAGCTGCTCACCCCCACAATGGGGAGGAGTGCTATCAAGAAAGACAGCACCCACCCACTCAGCATCATGGCGCAGGCGTGCCACAGGCGCAGCTTTCTTTCCAGCTGCATCGCGTAGGTGATGGTGTGCCACCTTTCTAGGGTGATCATGGTGAGCGTGTACATTGAGAACTCGCTGGCAAACACGGTTAAGAAGCCTGCAGTACTGCACCCCAAGCCAGTCTGCCAGTCTATGCCGTAGTTGTAGTACTGTGACTTAGTGTGGATGTCCACAGAAGCAATAATCAGCAGGTAAATCCCCATGCAGAGATCTGCAAAGGCCAAGTTACACATGAGGAAACGGGGCACTGTTAGTTTGTACCGGCTGGTCATTAGCACGATGAGCACAACAAGATTGCCTGTTATGGCCAAGATGCTTATCGACCATATTGATACTCTGAGGTAGGTATGTCCCATTATGTCTTCACAGGGATTGAAGTCATCTGGTCTGGGGTAGCACGTTACTTCAGTCACTTTCCTGCAGTGCTCATTGTACCAGCCAGGCTCATCTTGGTCTATGTGGGGAATGTTGCACATTGGATTTTTTGCTGACCTGGAAAATAGAATCTACATTGTAATTTCACACTGTAATAAGATAATTTACAACAGAACACAATACAAATGGGGGAAAATAACACAACTACTGTATTGACATGCTTAAGTTGTTTGCTAATAACACTGAAGATGAAGACAACAGTGATGGAAGGTCAAATTTCTATGCCTGGAGGGTACACAGTTTACAAATATTCTAATAAAGGCTCCAAAGAAAACGTTATAAATATCACGATTTTAAAATCTTTTTAAAATGAAGTCTTGGGTTGTTCATTGTACAGTAGCAATAAAATACTTACTGATTTTTTTTCCAGTTTGCAAATGCACAGCAATGGCTAGGATAGGTCAAGTTGGCTTCGATCAGTTCAGTAAAGATATCTAAGTTGGGCAGCTTTTTTAGATTGTAAGTGGAGGTAGCACTGAACTTTTTAATACTCTTCAGCATGTTCTTTGGCAGAATGCTGATGCTTGTACTGGAAATATCTCTATATGGTCAAGAAAACATATAATTAGTTTGCTAACAGTTTTAATAACACAGAGAGAATTAAACACAAAATTTTAAATCTACTTTGAGCTTTGTGCATTTTCTAAAGGTCAATTAAAACTTTCAAGAGTCTATGAAAATTGTTAGGTATTTACAGATGATTTTTCAGTAGAAGAAGAATAAATAATGTTACCAACCATGTCTCTATAATTTCTCATAACATAGAGGGCTAAACAAGTCTAATGCTGGTTGTACTCTAATAGGTTAAATATATACCCTGAAATCTTGTGACTAATCTTTTCATGCTCTATTTGTTTGTACACCTTCTGTGTTGTTTGATTTGCATGTGTTTTTGTTGGATTGGGATTGACCTTTTAGGAATGTTTCAAATCTATGGATTCTGAGAATGAAATGAGTCACTGCCACTTACAGAACAACAGGACCCTGTGCTCCCTGGAAGGCATCATTGTGTATTTTTCGAAGATTTACATTTCCTGTGAGAAAGCTGAAAAAACATAAAGGTAAGTTAACACCCATTACAGAACTCCTCTGCCAAATGTTACCTGGTTACATTATATCGAGTGAAACTTACAGCTTTTCCAGTTTGGTGCCATTAAATGCGTGGCTCTGTACTTCATTAATCCCATTCTTAGTCAGCCTGCTGTAACAGGAGAGAGCTGTAAGATTCATTTCACCAACAGGGTCCCACAGTACAGAAAATTAGTGGAAATAGCTTCTGATAAAAAACTAAAAACAACTGAAAAAATGTATAGTCCTTTTTCTGCTTTTACATTGAGAGTCAAATTATTGTAATTTAAGGTGTCCTGCTGTGATCAGATGAAGATATTTGAGGTATAAATTCATAAAGAATCCTGAGATGATCATCTCCCTTAACTCCCGAACAAAGTAGACTGAGAGGAGATTTATTTAAAATCCCAATGTATACAAATACTGTAGGTCAACATGTGGAATTATTGTGAAGCAAGGATAAGTGTTCACAAATGGAAACTGAAGGGATTCTATTTTCGACAGAAAATATTCTTCATACAAAGGCCTGTGAATATCTGGAACAAGCATCCCAAGTTTAATATCACATGTACTTGAGTAAATGAAATGCTTACTTGCATGTTTGAGTCCCACGTTCTGGGTTCCTTCAAGGGAAAACTGAATAAAATACTAAAGCACCTAAGGAGCAAAGCAGACTAAATGGTTTCCTCTCATTTGCAACCATGGTTTAATTAAATCTAGAAGATGCAGTCAGTAAACTTACAGCTCAGATATGTAATCATTGCTCAGTCCCAGGAAGGCATCCGGAGGAATAAGTTCTATATTTGTATTATCCTGGAGATCACTAAAAATAAAAGAAAATGTTCAATTTAAAACTTAATCTTACATTGTCACCATCTCCTTTTTTCTTTTGCTACATTTTACTGAGATTGTTTAAAAGGCCTTTCAATAGCATTTATGTTCTACTCATTTATGATTGTGAAGAGTCTTAATTCTGTTAGTTAGTGCTAGATAGATAAACACTGCTGAGAACACTGTGAACTCATCTCATATACTCAATGCTACTAAATAAGGAAGATCAAATCACATGTGAAACTAGCAGTTTTTAAGGCCCATGACAATATGCAGCCCTTGTGAATCAGTACTTGTACTGCTTGTGAGGAGTGAAGCTGTGATAACCAGTATACAGGATTCAGTTCCCAGCAGTTAAGATCAATTTTCCAGCCACATCAAAGCCTTGCTTTCTCCCTTCCTTTTATGCTCGGAACCACATGTACGCTGTCCATATATTTTATGAACTGTCTTTTTTTGTGTGACACAAAGGAATAGCTTACAATAAAAACCCATGTTGTCTGGAAGTAATTTTTGAGAAATCTGGCAGAATCTTGAGTCCAGTGTTTGATATGGTTCTGAAAAAAAAAGATTAACAGAACAGGAAAAATCTTAAGATCAACCTCACAAATGTTCGTCCTCCTGATAATATACGAAATCTAGCATTTTTTTGTGCTACATGCTCAGTTGGTGAATCCAAGATCTTCAAAGATGCAAACCTCTTTACAAGGTTCCTGTGGGAAAGCAGGATGTGACATGACTGGGATTAAAACCAGACAAACCCTGTCTCTCTGCATTTTCAGTCTTTAAATCTATTATTTCTCAGGCAATATCAAGATGAAAACAAAGTGCATCACTTAAGATTATTAAGTCCAACGTCTGTACATGTATATGCAAACACAAAAATAACTAACCAACCCTGCCCTCAACTTTTCCCCCATTCCCAAGCAAGCTGTAAGGAAAAAAGAAATATAAAACATGACACCAAAGCATGGACCTCCTTGAGATTTCACATACAAAAGCAAATGCTACTGACTAGATTCATTTGTACCTTCTCGGAAAATGTTGTTTTTAAAAGTAACCATCCAGTGTAACCAAATCAATTAGGAGATCAATGGAGGACAAGCAGATGTTTAACAGCAGGAAGACCACCTCAAAGAATGCTTCATTGAGAAATTTAATGGAAATTAATTGCTATCCTTAAGTAGTAAGAAATCAAAGCATGACCTGACTGTACCATAATGACATAATCCACCCCATGGATTAGGGGTGAGTCCCATTTTGAACCTGCTCTTTGGGCCAAGTAATTTTTGGGATTTCTGAGATTTCTTTTGTAAATATGTAAATCAATTATTTGTAGGAAACATTGTGTGCAAACATCTGTATTTGTAAATGCAAAAAACAATGCATCTTATGATGAAAACAGAGATTTTAGGAGTGCTTTAAGATGTCAACCAAAAACCTATAAATAGTACTTACAGATATTTTAGATTTGGTAGATTCCAGAAAGCATCTTTGTGAATGATAACAAGGTTTATTGACTTAGCAATTGTTCTGAAAACAATAAAGAATAACAAGTTATTAATATAAGTGCATGCTACAAATTGAAGTTTCATCAACTTACACTTCATGTCAGATGCACCATGTCGTCTTTATTTCACACATCAGCTTTCATGAACAACAAATACAACATTGTTGCTATCAACAAGTATCAGAAAGAATAACATAACATATGACTTCTGACAATATCCTGCTACATACTTCGTGTTTGCTGTGATGTATCATGACAAGAAAGTAAAAATTTCTAATAATGGATAGTGGTAAACATAAAATCAAACATTATTCCACCCCCTAAACCTATAAGGGGGGGCAAATTTAACTACAGTACATACTGAACTGAGAGCAGGAATGGTCAAACAATACCAAATTGGAAAATAAATCATTGAGATTTACCATGACAAGGTTCCATTAAGGAAGGCATTCTGTTCCTGACGATCTCTAATAATACATTTTATTTCCAAGAATTAAAAAAAAACTCAGAGTGCTGTAAAATAACATATGTGTATAACTCAAAGAAGAAATAAAAAGGAAGAGCACAATAAATTGATCCAACAGACCCAAGATAAAACTAAATTGTACACTAAAAGCTATAATAAAATGGTAGGATTCTGAGCAAGTTTTAAAAATGTCAACAGTTACAGAGTCTCTAATGGACAAGGGTGCTGTAAATTCAGCTTGTGTCTCTGTGTGAAACCTAAACTAAAAAGGTATAACATTAAATTGCACCTTAGATACCACCCCTGTTATATTAGTTCTGTGAGAAAAAGTAAGTTGGAAATAGGATGGTAGTTTTAATTACTTGAATTTTTAAAAATAGTTTTAACAGCAGCAGAAAACAGTGGCAGTAGGCAGGGGTACAGGTATCAGATTTCATTGATTCGCAGACATGGATAGTAAGAAATAGACATAGAGCAGAAAGTCTAGATTTGAGTAGGGCACAAAATATTCATGTAGTAGGCCTCATTTTAGCTAACTCAGCTACATAAGCTTGCCTCTACAGCAGTACACAGAGTGAAATGATGTCGAAGTGATTTCAGAAGGGGAGGTCAGCAGCTGTTATGTTTTTTTGTTGTGATAAAATTACATGAATGTGTTGCACTGTTCACAGCACACTCTCAGTAATCTTAAGAGGAGGTTGTAGACATATTTACTGTTTTTATCACTTTATTTAATATGCAAAGAAGGACAGCGGGATTTCTGCAAACCATCTCAATGAAAGAGTATCAGACTGCCTTGAGGCATGTTGTTTTGTTATGCTTTACATGAAGGTGACTCAACTTGCATCCCTTCCAATCAACCCCATTTTACAGTTTACTACAAAAAGATATTGAATTATTTAAGATAATTAGCAGGATGAAAATAGCAATGAAGTAGCTGGTTATATCACAGTACAACATTGGACTGAGCTGGAAGGGGTGAAGGCTGCGTAGTCCTGCTGCAGATGAGTCCCATCATGAGCACAAATGCTCGAGACTTCATCCTGTTGCCTTCACAGAATTACATATCCCATGCTCTTCTATCCCTGACCTTAACTTTAATCATTTTCTCACTATCTCTGTGGCACATTCTGTCATGGTGTCTGTTCCTTTTTAAAACTTTATCTACAACTGTGAAACGGCAAGACAATGGGAGCATTGTAGCAAAACAAGCCTTCCTCTCTGTATTTTTGCCTGTGTTTAAGAGTGCCTGCAACTGTATGTAATATGAAGGACATCCCTCAATCCAGAATGTATTATTGTGGAATAAGTACCAACACCTCAGAATAAGCATGTTGTTGTAACTTTGGCTGACCTGGTGGTCTTTTCTTACTTACATTTCCAGCAGTCCTGGGAGATTTCTAAAGACACGGTGTCCTATCTCTTCCAGTGCAAAATTCTCTGTGATAACACTGGGGAACAGAACAGTCATGAGAAAGGAATTGTATGCAGATATTTTTAATGAATTTGAGAAAAGACACATCCTTATGCTGCTCATGCAACAGTGCATGTTATGCTTGCCAGACCTGAGCCTCACTGAAGATCTGTGGGATAAATTGGGATTACATGTGGCATTTAGGGCACATCAACCAGTGAACAGGCACGTCCTTGTCACACTCTACTGAGGAATGTTTATATTTCTTCCAGCAGTGGACACATGCTACAATCCTTTGCGTTTCATGTTTGATCAACCCTGTTATTGACAAATGTTAATCATAATATTGAATTTACTTATGTCATTTCTGTTCCTTTTGATGTTCAGTATATAATGTAATTAGTTTAAGTACTGATAATGCCCAATTACTTTTCTTTCTTGTACTGAAATCACAGTTTGCTTAACTTCACAGTAATTCAAATAATGACCACGAAGAAGGTTTATGGACTTGCAGTCTATAGGGATAGCTTGCTTTGAGTCCCTTGCCTTATCAGGGACTCTGGGATTATTAAGAAAGGGATAAGGCCTCGTTATAGGCTAGGCAGAAAAGGTCATAGATTGTTTCAATCAAATTAGTCTCTTTGTTCCATTTATTTTATTTACCCCTTGAAGACTTTATTGATGTCACTGTATTGAGTCCTGCATCCTGGTGCTTAAGGTTTGATTTTTCTGGAAAGGGGGTCACAATCAAACGAGCAGATAAAAAAAAACATTCTGAATCTTCAAGCTGTATTGATAACTACACTGGCAATTCCCAGGCTTTCGAAATACCTTACACTTATCCATACAATCATTTTCTGCAGCAAGATTTATTATTTGTTAAAAGTGGCTGTGAATGGTTTCCACATTATGACAGTTTCTGTAAGTACTCATTAAAACTGCTTCTTCCCAGACTCTACTTTTCCTTTCTCAGTGTTTCGTGGTGCAGTTATAGCCAGACATGGCATTCCTTCTTTTCTAGGCATAACCATTCTATTTCTGTGATACATATCAAATGTTTTTTAGATCTGTGCTACACATCATGTTCTGTATCAAAGACTAAACATTTATGATAAATAAAATCTTATCTCAATATTTACAAATCATGTACCCTAAATCTTTTGCAACACTCATAAGTATCACTGCTCTTTTTGTAATTAGGTTTATTAGAACCAATGGCAGCTGCCACATTTTGTTGATTTTTCGTACATAAACGATTTCTCATTTTTAGACGAGTTTTTGTTCAAAAATTGAACCGATGCTGTTTTTTTTTTCTGATGTCCCCATTCTGTCGGTTTACGGCTTCAAAGCAGCACATCACGTTCTTGAACCAGCACAGGATGGATGAGGACAGCACACACACAACCTCTGAAATGTGCCTTGTGGGGCCATGCACTTTAATTCACTCTGTGAGCATCTACAACAGTAAACACCTTCTGGAGGTGTGGTGCAGCTTTCACCGACAGCATTTTCTCTGATTAACAGCCAAAAGGCTTATTCTTGAGCAGGAAACTACAGTATGTTTAACCTGGCAGACTTATAACCAGGCTCTCAGGTCTTTCTGATCACAAATGCACACAGCAGCAAGGTATACTGTAGCATCACTTTTGCATATCTGCTACAATTAACTACAGTCAAATAAAATTAAACAAATACAGTATAACATATATACAAAAAGCAAGTAATAAATAATACCCCACAAAGACCTATTCATTAACTTCTGAAATGAAAAAATGAAAACAATCTTTTAATATAAGTAACTTTGGAATCCTGTGATTTACCTTGTTTTGAAAAAAAAGTTATTTTTATTAGAAACTGTCTTTGTATGAACTTTGAAATAGAGCTGAATAAATTCCTTGTATTAAGTGCACCATAAATAATTCTCCCAATTGTATCTCAAGTACAGTAAATTATACTTTATAGCTACAGTATGCTGTATATTCTTTTATCTTCTTATACATACATTCTGTACAGGTCGGTGAGTCCAGAGAAGGCTTCACTCGGGATCACTTTCAACTTGGTCATCTTAATTTCCCTAGGAACAAAAGTAATAAGTACTGTATGTGAGCAACTTTTTCATATTGCAAAGGTAATAGAACTCTTATTTACAGTATTTCTGAGGCCTTACTGATGCTTTTAGCAGTTTTTCGTAAGAATTAAACAGAAATATCAATAGTCTCTCCTTCCAACATGAATGAAAGCCCTTAAGTGCCCACAGGTGTTTGCCTGTCATTTCCTGATCTGTACTTTCACCCAAATTGGTGTTTACATCACTGCAGTCAGGTGGTTAGGAGGGTGCTGTATCATATGAAGAAGAACAAAAACATGCAAAAACAAATTAAACTCAAGGGCAAATATTTCTATAAAATCAGCTACAAAAATATTTTCTTCTTCCCAACGGAATTGACATTTTTATCTGTTCTCCCTGTCAAAAAGAGATATGGTACTTGTCATACTCTGTGTTTCTCAATCCCTGGCAACGATATTTTTTTTTGTTCATTCCTAATGTATCTGAGTAATATCACCTGTAAAAAAAGCTTTGAGAATTCTTAAGTATTTTTAGGTTTCAACCCCCTGTACTTAACATTGGGTTAGGTTATATTTGGTTACTGTCAGATTTTAGAGTTGACTGCAGGCAAATACAGATAACCTAAAGAGCTGTATTATCAATGTTTATCGACAGAGACATAATGACCACTATGAATATCAGAAGGGCGTAATGAAGTGAAGCTGACTTTTGAGCTAGAGCCTGATTAGTAAATACCAGTCATTTTGTAATAGTAGCTCTAGGGAAGGAATTGAAGAGCAGTTTACTTTTTGGATAGTTGAACAGATGAAAGCCATTTTGAACTTTGACACTTGTACAGCATTGTACTCTCAAATATTAATACATTGTCTCCTCTGCCCTAGTTGGTTTCTCGCTCTGTAATGACTTGTACACAGTTTACATTTACAAAAGTTTTAGAAAAACAAGCTCTGGTTCATCATAGTGAATAAAAGCTGCACCTATTCCTAGAAGTCCCAGTATCACTTAAGGAACAGTTTCTACACTAATGATCTGTGATCCTGGGAGTGGGGAATCTTCCCATGCTGTAAATAACTTCCTGATAACGCTGTCTAATTTCCTCTTATGTCTTATTTTGGTCCATGAGAACCTTATGGTAGAAAATAGTAACCACATTATTAATTACATTTTGCAGAAAAACGTCTATTCCTTCCCTCTTGAATATCCGTTCCTCTGGAATATTCCAGTTTGAACATTTTTGTTTTCACTGAACTAGAGAAGAAATTGCATCTGTCTGCCCACATTATTAGGGTTGTTCTTAATATTAGGGTGCAACTTGTGGAATTACTACCACAATCCAAAACAACAGACTTGAACCCTGGCCTCGTGACCAGATGGAGAGCGTGATATGTTCTTTATTGTGATTGGCTTAACAGGAATGGAAAGAATTGAAGCATTGCCCATAGATCTGACTGCCCTTGCAAGTTCTGACTTGCAACACTCGGTTTCATTTGATAGGTAATGTTTTTTCCTGATAATGGGGAAGTTTGCCATGTGTTCCCACATAATGGAAGTCTAGCAAGTATGGCAAAAGCTAGGGACAGTTTTTGTTTTTCCTGTTAGAGCAGAATGCATCGTGAATGAGGGGAATACCTATACTTCTAAATGCTATATTGCAAGAGGGAGGATAGACAAGCTGGAATGTGCAAGACAAAAAAAGATTGAAACATTAAATTATAAATTACCCGGTCAAAGAAGACTTAGTATTTTGTTTGACAGAGGCTTCATGTCAAATATGCCATGTGGCAGCGTATGCCTACTGTATTCTAGTGCATTGTACAATAAGTAGCAGGATTTTTTTGTTGTTTAATTTTTTTGGAAACAGTGTTTAACAATGGACTTCCATTTTTGCATTCGTAATGTGGCCAGTAAGTGTATGAAGGAAATTATCATTTTCAAAGGTTGCAATTTAATTTGTTTCAGCTTCTCCAAGATTTTTTAATGCAAACAAGTTATTGAATTTAAATCAAATCAAGTGAATAGTGCTTCAAAAAATATGGTGATTATGTTAAAATGGCAACATACACCATAATATTTCTTAATGCACTCGGAAAATAATAATTTGAAAACTAAATATATCTAAATACTATGGTGCAGTTTCATGACTAAATACTGCATGGTCAGCAATACCATACCTGTTTGCTTTCACCATTTCGGGGGAGCTAATTAATTAGTTCTCTGTATACAAATGAATAGTTGTCTTGAACAAACAGGTGAAAAACAAATAATTTCTCACTGTGTTTACACATGGGAGTTGGAAAACCACATACAACAATCCTTCACATTTGTTGTTAGAGTAAGATTACATTACTGGAGAACTGGGTGTTTAGACAGATAATTTTGTAAACTAGCTGTAAACAAGAAAATAGATTCTCTGTTCTGTGCAGTCTGTGTACCAGAGAAGTTAATGTACCTCTGTGATCTTTCTACATAGTCAGCATCTACAGCTCCCTGTTATATACACAGCAGTCCCAGCTAATTAATTTCTGTCACCACTGCAAGACCTTCAGTTACCTAGCAGTTTACTATCTGGAAAGAAGTAATCTCTTCAGGTTCAGATTATCCCATGTTTTTCCCTTTTACAAATATTTTCATTTTTTTGCCTTTTTCTGATCATGAAACCATAAAAACACCAGGCAAAATTAGTTTTAAATACATTTCCTTGGAATTTCTAATATCTTTATGGTCACTGCACACAATGAAAGATAAATGCACTGATTTTCTGTACTATGCCAACGAAATACTTCTGATTCCACAACAGTTAGTTATCTTAGCTTTGAATAATACCAGAGCATAACAATTTAGACTTTCTTGTATTTAAATAATCAAAAATAGATGTTTCTTTTGCAGCTTCAATAATGGCCTGATATAAATCCTCTCCATCTCTCATCAAGAATGTTTATTTTGCTATGTCCAGTTTTTGCCACAACTTTGACATCATCTGTATTTTTTACTATGTTTTTTTAATATTGTAATATAAACTATTGATATAGTAGCCAAAGGCACTCTAATCCTGTGTTTCACCTGATACATTTGTCCTTTAGGACCAAAACCCAGAGCCTTGAGAAAAAAAAGGGCCTTTTGCGTATGGAACTAGGTAGGTTTCTGTATCTTTTTTTCAAGGGGGTCAGATATAGCTTAGGGGCATTTGAATTTAATTTCTAACACATAGGGATTTAACAGGGCTGGGAAGACTTTGCTTGATTTAAAGCACAGCATATTCAGAATGAAAACTGCTCTCAGCTAAAAATGTACCACTCATTTAAATGAAGAAATAATGTTTATGTAATTATTCTGTTTAACGTCCAGGTGTTTTTTATTATTATTTTTTCTAATTTCCTTAGAAGGTCTTTTGTACTCCTTAGATCATCATTGTAGTTGACTTCCTAAAATTTCCCCACACTTACATTTTATAAATAACTCTTATGAATTAATCTGAGTTACACACCAAAGAAAAAATCATTATTGCTTTCACAGTGCCAAAAGACTGACAAAGTCTCCAGCTTGCATTGGTCAAACGTGACATAAATCTTGCTGCTTTGTAACTTTTTTCATAATGCTTTTTTATAATGCTTTGTAACTAAAAGGTTCCTCTAAAAAACATCTACAGTATATAAGCATATAGATGAAACGAAATATTAAAAACTGGATAGGAGAGTGGAAATGTTTCAAGAAATGTAAGTAACAAAAGTAAGTGGGAAAAATCTTAAAGGTTCTTCATACATCAGAAAGATAGTTTCTTTCCATTATCTTTCAATCTTGGGGAACAATAAATTGAGATACTTATGATAGTTTTTAGACCACATTTGTTTCACAAGGAACCCAGATTATACATAGTGGCTTCCCATATATTGTATAATCACCGTTGCTATTAAATTTACATGATTAACTCTTAGAGGTTTATTGGAATGGGGTATTACTGGTTTAATAATATAAACTTACTCCTCAGATCTCTCTAGAGTAATCAAGAAACTCTCCCCACCATGTCCTGGACCAGTTTTAGGGGTTTTGAGTAACTGGGGACTTGGAGATGTACAGTCCCTGTGACAACCATTATTAACCTGTGTCAAGTCTGGAGTGGGATCCTATACATCTCAAGATAAATCTTTCCTATCATGAGGTGATAAAAATGAGTTTCTTGAGAAGTGCTCATAAATAAAAATGAAAAACACATTTACTTGATCTGTTATTAGTGTTTATGAAGTTTTGCTGTACTGTTCTGGTTTGGTAAAGCATTAAGCACTGTGATATTTCTAATTAAACATTATTTTTGGTAAAGACTGAGCAGAAATGTATAATTGAAAAAAGAATACTGTGATATTTGCAAAGTTTCTGGCTGGAAAATTTAAGATGTTTTCTGCTGGATTATTTACTATCTACTCACACGCTATGCAGCATTATAAATGAAGTCATCAAAATATGATCATGTTGTTCTTCACATGATGTTCAAGGCTTTTTCCCTTAATTAAAAGAGCCATAAACATCCACCCATTCATTTACAAAATAGTAGTTACAGTCAGCCATATTGGCTAAAATATATTTGCAGGAGTAACAACTGAATTTGAAAAAATAAGACAATTGGAAAAGATCACTCACTCAAACTCACTCATTCCAGCAGTCATCATATGATATAGTTTGTAAAAGCTAAAATATTAATGTTTATATTACTATAAATAAATGTAAGATAATTACATCAATTAGAACAAGAAATTCAAACAGTTGCTATTTACTGATTTTAACACAATTGAGATTCTATGTCTTTAGTTACAGGCATTTTACTCACACATAGGTCGTGTTCTGTGGAATGTCAGTAGGCATCTGTAGAACTTTGATTCCCACACATGAGAAAGATCTGGTTGTCCCATTGCTTGCACAGACGTGGCATTCAATGCATTGCATTCCTATCAAAAGAAAGTAAACCCACAACAGGATCATTCTGTCTCCGTCCACAGAAATCTGGTCTCTTTGTGTTTTTGTGTATAAAGCGGTGATGTGTGGATCGTCTTTTTTTCAGCTGACAAGCATTAACACTACTTTGATATTGCAGTTATATATCATTAGATTCCAGAATTTTGCAGATTGGTTTTGCTCTTCTAGATCTTCATCTAATGGTACCGAAAAAGACAACAACACATTGTTCAAGTGAATAAATAGATCCTGAGCACGCAGCCAGCTTTGTTATATAGCAAGCCCATCAGAGACCTTGGGAGAAAGGACTCTGATAAGGAGCAAGTGCCTTTCTTGCTTTTCTCCTCTCTTCCTCATTCTGAATTCATCACTAAATGGTGGAGATAGATTACCTCCTCAAAAACCAGAGGAATTCCAAAAATGATAAGACACTAATTTCTGACTTCATGTTACCTATAAATGTTTGGCAACACACTCTGTGTATCTGATCTGTTCCATCTCTGATTATAGTTCATTAAAATATAAAAGAACACAGTGTTATAACCAGGCTCATACTTCTTTCACTTTAAAGTCCATTTTGCTGTCTAGTTTTGTCTGTGATTACAAAACGTTTTTTGGCATATGCAAATATTTGTCAATTTTTGGCTTTCACTTAGTTCTTTAATAAGGAGCAGTGCATGTTAAGAGCAAAATGAACTTTGTTCAGCACACACTATTCTTATTATGAAACTCACAGACAAAAATAAATGGGAAACCTCATTGCAAGACAGTCAATGAACTTACAGCTGTCTGAACAAGTCTTAAGACAAATATTTTATTAAAACCTGACAATAAAATATAAAATTGTATTTTATATTGTATTTTTCACATAAAGTTCTCAGGTTTGATCTCATGGTGTAACAGATTTTTTTAAAACAAATGTTCATAACAATCTAAATAAACAGATACAACCTAATGAATCACTTAGATATGGAAGTTCTTAAATGAAATTTGGGAGGGATAACAAAGATAAGTAAATCTCATTACATAATCACTATCATTACTGAAATTAGCTCTATACAGTATATATTGAACAAACATTTCCTTTGCATTAGTCTCAAGCATCCCTCCTCCACCTCCTCTCTACCCTCTCCTTGGTTTACCCCTCTCTGAATGGGGTTCAAACACCCTCATTCTATGGCCAGGAGGCTGCCCATAACCAAGTGGGATAAACAAAACCTGTCTTACCAGGCATTCCAAAAATTCACAAAGCATTCAATTTTTGGATGTTGTTATTTTTCTAGCTGGTATCTTGGCTCAACTGATTAATTAGTTTCCCCTGATATGTTCCAGTTAACTAATTATACTGTAGATCATTCTTTAGTTATTGGCTTTGCTATAGTCAGGTACTTCTGGCTCATTATAATAGTAAGTGGGCAGCTGCTTTATAAGGGTGAAGCCTAGGGTCACCTGGGAACGTTACCAGATTAAAAGAAAACAGAAAATAATCAGGTTGAGGGCTCAGAAGAGTTTAATTCTAAATCCAAAAATAGATCAGGCAGGAAGATCTTTATAATTGTTGAAGCATTTGTAAAAACTTGTTATAGAAATTCAGGTCTATAACAAGTGTGGTCAATTACGTATTGGTATTAATGACTTGGGTCATTTAATGAGGCTCTATACTTTTTACTATGGGGGATGAAAACTGAATTTCAAACAAGAATTCAACGATGAAGACCAATGAGCTTTCAAAACAACTTGGAGATATTTTGAAGTTACAGCAAAACAGAGAAGGGTATAAATTGCCCCTTGAGTATGGTGAAGTTAATTAAGAAGTGGGTGTACCTAGGCACTGCCTCCAAACTGAGCAGCCAGGCATGGGGAAACCAGTTACAGATGCCAATATGAATCCAGTGGTGACTATGAATAAGTATAGAGTTCAAAACCTGAGGTGTGAGATGTCTGCTTTCCAGCGGGGCAATATCCCAAATCTTTCTTAGTGTAGATTAAGGAGAAAGTGAATATCAGGGTGGCTCAAGGTCCTAGTTTGAAGATTTATTGCAAGACTTGAAAACTGATTAGCCGCTTGGCATAGCTTTAGTACGTTTTCAAAGAGGAATGGCAGAAATTTGTATTATCTCACTGTGTAAAGTTGGTAGATGTATCGAAAAAGACTCCTAGCTGTAATTGGTGCCAAATGTGCTTCCAGCAGGTGTTGACTCACCTGGGTGAATACTTTGCAATGAATGTCTTAGTTTTTTTTTTACAGATTTTGTGGTCATTTAACTTTTTACACCCTTAAAAGTTCTGAGAATGCATAGAAGTTACCTTAATCGTAAAAGTAATTAAGGATTACAGTGGTGGAGTGTTAGCATTGCTGCCTTGCAACACTGGGATTAATTCTAGACCCAGGGTGCTATCTGTGTGGATTTTGTATGTTCTCCCTGTGTTTCACATGGGTTTCACAGTCCAGCAACATACTGTACTGGTAGGTTAATTGGTTTCTGGGGGAACAGTCCCTAGGCATACTGTAAGTGTGCATGCTTATTTGCCCCGTGATGGTTTCCTGGCCAGGTTTATGCTGCCTTGTGCTTGTTGCTTGCTGGAATAGGCACTGGTTCCCCTGTGACCCTGAGCAGAAGAAGCGGTTAGAAAATGGATGGATGGGACATCATTGGGAGATGGGTAAATAGTTTTGCAAATAGTCCACTGGAGCTTGCTCGTAAAGAAAGACATAATCGGCTTTAAAAAGATTTCTAAATATTCCCCCAGCTTTAAATACATTTTTACCTGTCAAAGTCTTACTCTTGAAAACTAAATTAGTTCTAATAATGACACTTTTTTCCTCATTTTCAATCCACATGTTGTTTCAAGGCACCGGCATGAGAAAAGAATTTCTGACAAGCTGTATTATGTACTTAGCACAACAGAGACGATTGTTTACTTCCACTAACTTCTCTCATTAGAGCATAGATGGTACTACTATACTACTGAATCTTTAAGGCACATTGACTATTTAATTTGAAAGTGTATATGTGGCTGAAGCACACCAGGACTGGAGAATCTTGACTTATACCTGTTAGCCTGTTAATATTTTGTATAAGATGACAGAAGAGGGGAGCACACAGATGCAGTGGCTTGGTTAAGACAGTCTCATGAATCTAAAACTCCTTCCCACGTCATCTTCGTCACCCCCTAGGGTGTTTTATAAATATAGGGTGCCATTTGCACCATGTTCAGTTCCAGTATTATAACTGTTATCGTACATCTTGTCACTGCTGTTCCTGTTCTTCATTCTTTCTAAGTGAGAGATTTTGTTCCTTTTCAGTGTGCAACTTTAAATTAGTGCTCCAGGCACCTGTTAAAGGCTATTTTCTTCACTAAACTTCTTAGGATCCAAGCCAAATCACTAGCTTCATTAAAGTGGTGTCAGAAAAGATAGGATAAGATGTTGCAGTGAGCAGATGGATTGCAGTCTAAACCTCAAACAGAAAGAGAAGTTTTCTCATACAGAAAAAAAAAAACTTTAGAGGTAGAAAAAAATACCTCATCACAGAAAGAAAGAAGCCTTAGCCCACTTGCCTGTGAGTAGCCAGTGATTCTGAGATTTTTACTTTGAGGCCCTTTACTTCAATTACTTGCAGTTTGATTACCGAAACTGCCCTCTGAAATCTGGATTACACTCCCAAGTTATTATGGCAGCCATGGCTTCTTTGACACGTTGTGACACAATGGAGACTCGCTGTCTTTATCTGAGCCAAAACTCTGCTGGTCAGTGCTGGAGGGCCTCAGGGGAGAAGGAATATGGCTCAAGCCTCTTTCTCCTGCCAGCCGCATGGGAATGCAACGCTGGGATCATTGTCTATTTAATGAGCAGGAATATAAACTGCACATGTGGATGTCCCAGTGTTCGAGCCAGAACCTTGCCTATGGAAATCGGGCTAAGGCACACTCTCTCCCTCCCTGTCTCTCTGAAGAGAAGAATGGATTTTCTCTTGCATCCGAGCTATTAGACTCTTTTGAAATAGAAATATTATTTTCAGAGTGACCTGTTGCCAGTTGTCTATCTCCCCTAAGAGATATTGATTAAAATTGGTGAAAATATAATATATTATATTTACCCCCACGGTATATGCTCAGCTAGTGGGGTGGTTTTTGTTAATTTTTTGGATCTGTGGTTCTGTTCCTGCCAAATCTAGATTGTGCCATTTAATTATAGACAACATCCAACTATCATAAAATCCACCGACCTTCTGCCACTGGAATCCAAAAGGCTGGATTACACTAAGGCTCATGTCACTTCATGGCTATATTTGCCTGAGCATTCCTGGATGAGATCTGAGCAGCATTATTATGTGTAGATAGCTGTCACTCAAATTCTAATGGAAGCTTTGACCAGTCCTCATGCTGTGCCCAACAATTGACTGTATTGTCAGCCATTTGTTTGGGCTGAAAAGGAATGTAATCATCACCCTTTCTGGTCTGCTCTTAGCTGACCTCTAATTCCGATTAAAAAAATTTATATAGATTAAACTGTCCTCCCAACGTCTAGAAAAAAACAGTGAAGTTCAAAGTATCAAGGCAGATTTGGCATAAAAGCACAGGAATGGTCAGTAATGTGCACATCTTCCATTGGTGAAAACTTTATTTAGTTTTCAGAGAACCAAGGTTGGGAAAACAATTTAGTGTTATGAGCTTCAATATGCTTGTGAAGGCAATTTCTCGGCAATTGCTTTTATGAAATGATTTCCTGGACCATAAAAAAAGCTCTGAAATCATTTCAGTTTGTAATTTATAATCTTACTGAAATAAAATTATATCCTTGGCTGTGCATCTTAAAGAATCTCCCACACTAATCAGTTAACATAAAGATGAAGCATTTTTTGTATAATCTGGGATTAGTATAGTTTTGTGTTGTCTTTATTTAGGCCTCCTTATCCCTCAGTCTGCCCAACATTCCACACACTGAAATGACCAGGCCTACACACTGACACATACTATGATGCCTTCAAGGTAAGTATTTTATTTCTGAGATAAGTTCATATTTAAACACTATTTCCAGATTTGGGTGCTTTAAAGAATGTCTTTACCTCTGAAGTTGGAGACAATTAGGTTTTCCTTTTTCTAAATACAACACAGCTAATCAAACATTATTAGACAGGGGAAAAGAACTGAGACAGAGCCTTCTCTGAGTTGGAAACTCCCAGGTTGTTCCAAAATATGGGGGCATGGACAGTTGCATATGTGTTCTGGTTATTTTATTTCTGAAAACAACATGACTTGGCAGCTTATTCTGGAAACTCACCACCCTTTGTGCAAAAATGGTGGCTCTGGCTTTC